AGTACTCATAATAGCGAAATTCACTCTTTTTTGACATTGCTCCGACAATTTGACGTTTTATGCGTGAATCAAACGTCAAATTGTCGAAGCAATATCAAAAAAGAGCGCATTTCGCGGTTATGAGTACTAGGCTTTATCAATACACGGGGCGAGACAGGCGAGTACCACTGATCTAAAAAATAAATGGATAAACAATCATACGGCTTGATTGGCAAAATTTGTGCGAAAATTTGGGGTCAATATTCTACGAACAGTTGTGCAACGGAACAGCCTAACGCCTGCGCAATGTCTTATCTTTCGAACAACTGTTCTAAATTTTGAAATTCCTTCATTTTCATTGGCCAGACTTTGTGCACACACAGTACATGTATCTACTGCGCACGCTCACAGCTGTCCGAGTCAGTTGTTTTTGTTTAGATTATGACCTCGTCAATTAGCAGCATTAGAAGCGTTCTTTGTTTATCCATTTATTTTTGAGATCAGTGGCGAGTACTCAAATCTGACACTTTTCTGACATCGTTGACATGTAACAACCCGTATTCTAACCTCATAAAAATTTCAAAATGCCGGCTGGACGACTTATCAAAATGGAATTCAAAATGGAGGCCAATGCCTTTTTTCTACTAATAATTTCTTAAACTAAAAACTTTCCATCTTTAAATACGCAAATTATCCTTCTAAACACTAGAAAATCATCTAAAAGCACCACAAAATACACAAAAAACAGTTTTTTTATGAAAAATGTCACGATTGCTTGAATTAAATTTATGGCGCCAATTTTTTGGCATTGGCCATGCATTGACCACCATTTTGTTTGGATTGCCCTATTGACGATTCTGACAGCTGGAGGACAAACTGAGGTTAGGTTAGCACAAGTCTTGTCCAAATTACAGTGCGTCCAAATCAGCTGTCAAAATGATCAATAAAAAATGGATGTATATTACGCATATTATTTAATACCTACTCATAGAAAAAGTGTATAGTAATTCTTCTCGTGGGTAATGGTTATTACTCACTTGGATGATTACACTACTCGCTTGGATGATTACACTACTCGCCTTCGGCTCGTAGTGTAAACTTCATCCTTCGTGAGTAATAAGCCATCATTACCCCACTCGTTGAATTATATATACTACTAGCGGGAAGCCGATCTACGATCGGGTTATCGGGTTATCGGGTTATGATCTCATTCATAAAAAGTACATTTTTAATTTGAATCGATTTTTTACAATAGATTTCTATTTATCGTGTCACTCTTTTTTGGCCCTTAGCAAAGTTGCTAGATTTTTTGCATCGGTCAATTTTTTTCAACGTCTTAAATGACGTTTCCGATTCTGAACACCAATACAGGCATATGACGCCCTTTTGTCATATTTTGAGAGGGCATCTGTCAAAAATTACATTTGACAAGTTGGAGTATTCCAAATTGTATTATCATCCGAACTTGAAGTGTATGCAAAATTTCAGCAAAATCCGTTGCGAAGAAATGATTCAAAAATCTGCACCTGTCACATTTGACAGTTGACACCTGTCATTAGTGGTCTAAAATTTATAATCACTCGAACTTAAAGTCTATAAAAATTTCAGCAAAATCCGTTTTAAAAAAATGGTTCAAAAATCTGCACCTGTCATATTTGACAGTTCACACCTATCATTAGTAGTCTAAAATGTATTATCTCCCCAACCTAAAGTGTATGCAAACAGTGATGCCAACTCGTGGGAAATTTCTCTTTTCGTGGGAATTTTTGGATGAAAATATTTGAAATGGGGAAAAAGGGAAAAAAAAAACATATAAATACATGTTTTTATAGGAAATTTTGTTAACTCAAGGGAATAAAACTAAATAATAAACATTTTCATGAAAATTTTCAGCCTCTCGCAGCGTTGTCATGTTTTAATAAAGTTCCCAAAAATCATCTTATCTTTGCCTTGTTAACATAGTCAAGTTTCAACGCCAGTCAACGTTCGAACTATCAATATTAATTATTTATTTATTTATTATTAATTCTCTGACATTCTGTCTCTATGGTGCCAATAACGTTTAGCCACAGCATGTACAAAAACAATCAGCAGGCTAACTTGAGTGACATCCCGTGTAATAAAGGAATTCATGGTCGGGATGTCACTAGCGGACATTTTGGGATACGAGACAGGACCTGATTAACAATAATTTAGATTTTTTCTTTTGGGTCACAGAGTCGTATTGGCTTTGAATAAATTAATTTATTATTACTTACATATAATAGTATTTATCCTTACTAATTTATTATTATTTTTTAATATACAAGGAATGATAACTGATAACACCATAAATGACAACATAAATATACTAAAATGACTTTGAAAATCATAACTAAAATTCCGTTCTACACCGCACGCCTATGACCTCTGTTAGAAATAAACAAATAAATTAAAATGTCGGCGTCCCTGCCGTTTAATGACAGGATGGTATCCCCTCATGGCGGCGTGCGCAGAAAAGATGCGCGTGAGAGTTAGCCTGCTGATTGTTTTTGTATATTATGTGGTTTAGCATTCTGCTACGAGATGGCTCCATATCCAGGCTGTAAGTACAGTGACTCTATTACCTACAGTGGCGACAATTGCTGTCTGATTTTTGATTGGTTCTAAAATCCCATATATATATATTGAAAACGCGGCCATCTTCTTCCCGCACCTATTGCTTATTTCAAATATGAATATATTGGATTTGGGTGAACATCCCTATTGTCGCCACTGTATGTAAAGGTTTATTTAGCCACACTGTAGCTGTAAGCTGTCACAGCCACATATTTCCAGTTGCCCACCTATTTTTTAATAAGTTGAACTTTTATCCTAATTGACAAATGAATTGATCGACTGGAAATAAGCTGATGAGCTTTGTTCCAACACAGCAGGAAATCGTACTATGTACCTCACGATTCTGCGCAAAGCCTAAAATTTGTGCGTAGAATCGAAAATTCGTATACAGGGTGGTTTCAAAACTGTTCATGGACCGGTTTTTGACGTGTTGGAACAGACCTCTGGTAACCATAAATGATAACAGAATCTTGGGAAAATTCTGGAGAATTTTTATCTCGATTTTTATTTTGCATAGTGGGAAAATTTGGGAATTTTTACACATTCGAGTGGGAAATTTTGTTCTTAAGGGTTGGCAACACTGTATGCAAAATTTCAGCAAAATTCGGCGTTGCGAAGAAATGGTTCAAAAATCTGCACCTGTCACAATTTGACAGTTGTCATTAGTATTCTAAAATGTATTACCACCCGAACTTAAAGTGTATGCAAAATTTCAGCAAAATCCGTTGCGAGGAAATGGTTCAAAAATCTGCATCTGTCACATTTGACAGTTGACATCTGTCATTAGTGTATTATCACCTGAACTTAAAGTGTATGCAAAATTTCAGCAAAATCCGTTGCGAAGAAATGGTTCAGAAATCTGCACCTGTCACATTTGACAGTTGTCACCAGTTTTTCGGAAAATTTGACCAAGCCCATTGGATTCCTGAGGTTGAAAAACCCTTAAATACCAACTATCGAGAAAATTGTTAGAGCCTCAAGATAGCATGACTGAAAATACATACAATACAGGGTTATTGGTTATAAATGTCACCCCCCTCTATTTTTTTTATTTGACATTTTAGAAAAAAGTGTGCCAAATAAAAGTTTTATGGTTGAAATTAAATTTTTTGAAAAACTTACTTTCGCATATACAGGGTGTTTCAGAAACGCTGGTCGTGCTCCAAATTTCTTATTTCAAATGGAATACCCTGTATATTATTGGATATTCGGATTCTACATAAAATTCTGAGCAGATTTCATGTGATATAAGATATACCCTATACCTAAGTTCAACTGTTTTGGAAATATTGACAGTTGAAAATTGACTTTTTTGCAACATTGACAGGCTGTAAATCCTAAACGGTTAATTTTAAAGCAAAACCAATCTCACATTTATATCTTAGATTTTTATAAACTATCAGTTGACACCTATATTTGACATCAACGTTGAATTTAATCCATGATTGAAAATTCCAATTAAATTTAATCTTCGGTTCAAACTCAAAGTTGATGTCAAATGATAACTTGCGAATCTAAGATTTTCAAATGTGAGATCGGTTTTGCTCAAAGGTTAACCGCTAGGTTTTACAGCCTGTCAAATTTGCAAAAAAGTAAGTTTTCAACTGTCAATATTTCCAAAACAGTTGAACTTAGATATAGGGTATATCACATGAAATCTGCTCAGGATTTGACGTAGAATCCGAATATTGAATAATATATAGGGTATTCAATTTAAAATAAGAAAGTTGGAGCACGACCAGCTTTTTTGAAACACCCTGTATAGGCAAAAGTGAGATTATCAGAAAATTTAATTTCAACCATAAATTTTTTATTTGGGACACTTTTTTCTAAAATGTCAAATAAAAAAGATAGACGGGGGTGACATTTATAACCAATAACCCTGTACATACATACAATTTTTACTCATATAAGATAATAAGATTTTCTAAAACCGTGCGGAAAATTGATTTTTCCACACTGCTGTAAAAAAACTATTGTACCTAAAACTTGTGGATTTTTTTTTCCAAATACTCGGCTGCTTTACCGAATTCCGCTACCTGTCCCTTCGGTGAATGGTAGATTCGTGTGGAAAAATTCATTTTCCGCACTTGTTAAATAATAGTTATTACCACATGGTGTGTGTAAGAAACAGAAATTGCGAAATAGAGCAGAAATATTAACAAAATTGAGAAAAAATTAGAAGATGGCAAGACATTCATGTTTTTTTTCTATTCCAGGCTCTTGGAGTTTCTAAGCCAATCAAATATTAAAAAGTTGACATTCTAGACCAATCAAGAGCCAGGAAAATTAAGAAATTGAATTTTAGTCAGTCAAAATCCAAGAATGTTCAAAAATGGAATGTCTCAGCCAATCAAGAGCCAGGAATACATAAACATTGATCTGGAACGGTTGAGAAATAGAGAAAAATAAAAACTCAAATCTTGTTAAAAAAAAAAACTTTATTAAACAAAAAAGACTGCCTTAAAAACTAGGATCCAAATAAAACCTATTTAATTAAATATTCTCATCATAAAGAGGGGTAGCATCACCCATCGACATACTAAGGGGCGTCGTGCTTCTCATAGACCTAGGACTCTTGCCTACATTTTTCATTCTGGTACGCTCCAAATCAGCATGTATGTCATCATACCGAGGCGTTCTTTGACCTGTCGATCCTCTAGGAGTAATACGACCTTCACTTCTTGGAGTACCTTGAAAGAAAAAGCCATGATTTCAAAAAATCACTCCTTTGACACAAAAGTTAGGTACTTACCTTTACTTTTTGCTGCCCAAGCTTCAGCAGCCTTTTGCCAATCCATTTGATCAGCAGTACTACCGTAAGCACTACCAGACCTGTGATGGTACCCAGCACTATTGCTAGGAGGATTTCTAGAAGAAATATGACTACGTTGACTGGCTCTAGAGTAGGAACTGCTCACACTATGATTTGAAGGAGTCACTGAGCCTGGGTGCAAAAACGTGCCTTGCCCTTGAGGCAATCCAGATTGTGATTGTTGAGAGGGAGAAAAACTACAAAAAAAAAACCATGTTAATTTATTTGAAATCACAACTAAACTCAATTACCTTGGTGTTTGAGTATGAGGTGTAGCATAAGGAGTCATAAAAGGTGTCTGACTGCTAGGAGTATAAGGAGTAGTCACGTAATTAGCCCCATAAGCTCCTCCAGGGGTGTGAGGATAATGCGGTGTTTGATTGGCCACAGCCGATAAACTTTGCAACATGTGACTGGGCAAATTCTGAGCCACCCTTTGAATTGCTTCAGAGTTGACATTGTTATAAGGTGTACCGCCTCCTTGAAAAGGTGTTCTACTAGAAGTACTGCCCAATCTAGGAGTACTAGGCGTTCCACCAGGAATGGGGTCTCTAAAGTGCTCTTTGAACCATTTAAATAGTGAGCCTACTGAGTCAAACATTTGTTGTCTCAATCTGAAACCTTCGTGGGTCACTGTAATGTATTCGTGCCTGATTTTATTCCTTGGCATGTAGGAAAGGAGGAATTTGCCTGGGAAATTTTTAGCCGCGCTCACTACGTAATGGATTTTGTTGGGGTTTTTCTTTTTTTCTTCTCTTATAGCTTCTTCTGCTTTGTCCTTCATACCACCATTAGTATCTTTATAATATCTACAAAAATATTTATATTAATAATTAATAACTTGGAAATCTTATTATAATTTGTGGGTACAATTTTTGGGGATTCAGTCAAAAATCAATAAAGATGAAGATTTTTGCCTAAAAATTGTCCCCACAAAATAATGATAATTTTTACCTAAAATACAAAAGATCTCTAGCATTTGAAGCCATAGGCGTAACATATCTTGCAAGTATTTCATCTAAATCTTCAAATTCTTCATTACCAATCCATAAAGACTTCCCTAAAGAAAAGGCATTAATTTTGCCTTCTTCTTTGACATCAATGTGTTGATAAATGCCATCCCCCACCTTCCAAGTGATTGTAAGATGATCAGCCCCTTTACTCGAAGGCCTAATAATGACTTCACCTTGATCCATGTTGACCATACATTTTTCAGCTTCCTTATAGGAAATATTGTGAAAAGCTGGATGCACTATTACACGTTTAATGTAGGTTTGCTTTTGCTTTTCTTGTCTCTTTTCAGCCTCAATTCTCAAATCTTTATCCTCTTGTTCTTGATTGTAAAAAGGATCTTTGGGTGGCCGCCATTCGTGATTCTTATCAACCAAATCACTGGACTTTGAAGTGCAATCAACTGAAAACCTTTCTACATCGATTTTGATTATTCTACAATGTATTAGTTGCCCAATTCCTACACGTTCTTCAGGATTATTAACAGGTTTGTCGCTTAAATTTTTAATATAAATATAGCCAGAAATTCCATTATCTAGCCTCAATTTTACTCCTGTGGCTTGTCCAGGACAAGAACCAGCATCAAAATGATTCCACACATCGGATAATTCAGGGAAATCGTTTTTCAAACAAAACGGACACTGCCATAGACCGGTTTCATCATTACGCACAGGATTGGCTGAATCTAACTGTTCACCTTGCGGTTTCCTACGAGCAATTCCAACCACTGAAACTTGGACTAGTTTCCCTATGTAAAACGTTTCAGGGGTTTCTTTGGTTAACATATCGAATAATTCTTCAGGATTGGCAGATCTAAATGGGGATCTTAAGTCTTTGTATCGGGAGTTTAGTTCGGCTCTGATGTCATAGAGGGTGATACTTTTGTTACCAAATCCTGAAATAATTATATTATATATTTTAGATAGAAATTTTCAGTGATTCTTATCCCAGTGGAGGACCAGAATCTCTGAAAACTGTAACTCATTTGGATTTAGCTTAACAGAACTGTAAAGCAAAAACTGTCGTGATATTATCAGGCAAATTCTTACCTTGTCTCTCCAATTCCTCAGCGAAAGCATCCAAATCCAAATCCTTTAGCCTCTCGGGAGTTTCTAGAATCTCCTCCAAAGCCCCTGCAGGATTAGCACCTTCATCATCATCATACTCCAAAGCATCTACAGCCATTTTCCTGGCCCACTCATAAGTTTCTGGATGCACTCTAGAACCATCTAGAATTTCGACATAAGCTTCAGTACTATCGCCCAAACTGTTGGTATCAATTTTAATAAATCCAGAACAATTAATGAAAACTTTAGGTCCCATATGACAAGCTGTAACAAGTTGGGTACGATTTTCCAAGCGCTGATTGGTTTGTTTCAAAATTCTCAACAAAGCCTGTCCCTTTCTAGGCCCCAAACCACATATAAACTGTATCAAATGACTTTTATGCGCTTGTTGTACAGCCAAATTAACATCCACCCCAACTTCGTTTGTCCTATTAACAAACTCCAAACATAAAGCTTCTAAAAGTTCCTCTTTTGTCAATTGGTCTTGCAATTTGTGGAATCTTAAACTCAAAATTTCCTCGTCACTGTTGCACATTTGCGAATATTCAATTAGTGGATCTTGCATTAGACGGGCCAATGAAATCGCTTGGCGTAATAGTTCGGGGTAATCTCGGAAATCGGCGATTCCTTTGTTGGAAATTGCGTAGACTTTTGCCAGCTCGTTATCGACGATTTCCACTTTGATTGCCGGAAATTGGTCGGATTCGATTAAGTCTTTCACGATTCCGCGCAGGTCTTCGGCAATCATTAGGGCTTCTCGGGATTCGCCTCCTATTGCGATAACGTGAGGTTTTTTGCTGAAACGGAATTTTTGGTGATAAAGGATTTATTGGATTTACTACACTCAAAATGGACGTATACCAAAACAGTGAAATCCAAGATAAGTTCTTAAATGCAAGGGTTAAACCACCTGAACAATTCCTCAAAGGGGAATTTTTTACGCATAATTCCTCAAAATTCCTGCAAATTCCTCCAGATACTTTATCACAAATTCCTCCAAATACCCTACCACGAGCTTCTCCAAATACCCCACAAACTCCTCCTTGTGAAACTTTTTGCATGTAAAGAGGAAGGTGAGAAGATCATTTTCCCAACATTTCAAATTTTTCTAGTGAAAAACAGCAACATGAAAAATCTTGGAAATCAACCTACACAAACTAAATTAGTTGAAAATACAGTCTCCCACATTTCAAAATTTTCTTGGAAAACTACTGAAGGGAAAATTTTGAAACTTTTTGCATATAAAGAAGAAGGTGAGAAGCTCATTTTCCCAGAATTTCAAATTTCTCCAGTGAAAAATTACAACATAAGGAATCTTGGAAATCAACCTACAAAAACTGAATTAGTGGAAAATACAGTCTCACATATTTCAAAGTTTTCGTGGAAAACTAGTGAAGGGAAAATTTTCAAACTTTTTGCATGTAAAGAGGAAGGTAAGAAGCTCATTTTCCTAAAACTTCAAATTTTTCCAGTAGAAAACAGCAACATGAAAAATCTTGGAAATCAACCTACAAAAACTAAATTAGTGGAAAATACAGTCTCACATATTTCAAAGTTTTCGTGGAAAACTAGTGAAGGGAAAATTTTCAAACTTTTTGCATTTAAAGAGGAAGGTAAGAAGCTCATTTTCCTAAAATTTCAAATTTTTCCAGTAGAAAACAGCAAGATGAAAAATCTTGGAAATCAACCTACAAAAACTAAATTAGTGGAAAATACAGTCTCACACATTTCAAAGTTATCCTGGAAAACTAGTGAAGGAAACATTTTGAAACTTTTTGCATGTAAAGAGGAAGGTGAGAAGCTCATTTTCCCAAAATTTAAAATTTTTCCAGTAGAAAACAGCAACAGGAAAAATCTTGGAAATCAACCTACAAAAACTGAATTAGTGGAAAATACAGTTTCATGTATTTCAAAGTTTTCCTGGAAAACTAGAATAGGGAGAAATTTGAAACTTTTTGCATGTAAAGAAGAACGTGAGAACATCACTTTCCCAAAATTTCAAATTTTTTCAGTTGAAAATAACAACATGAAAAATTTTGGAAATCAGCCTATAAAAACTATATTCATTATTCTTTTGAATTTTTTAAATTCGACAATTTCCTTTAAATTACTCATAAATTCCTCACAAATTCTCCTAAATTCCCCATAAATTCCTCCAAATTCTCTATAAATTCCCCAAATTCTCATAAATTCGGATGAGTTCCTTCAAATTCCCCACAAATTCCTCTAAATTCCTCACATTTTTGGCAAAGAATTCCTAAGCGGTTTGCCCCTTGCTAAAATGAAAGAGGAAAAGACAAAACAATCTGGATCAGAAAAGTAAAAATTACCCTGGCAAGCAGGGTTTCCTTAGATATAAATTGATAAAACAAAAAAAAAATACTTTCAGGATTTATTCTGTAGGGTCTTCTTATTAGCCTCAGAAATGAAATTATGAATCTACAAAGTTTTGAGTTTAACATACGTGTAAATGAAGTTCCTCAAAGCCGTCAAATCCGCTTCCTTCATCAGCTTTTCTTCCTGTTTCCAGCTGTTTTTCCGCTTCAAAATATGCGGCAACCTCAAATAATCAGTAATATCACCATCTGCAGTCGATATACAAGTAAAAGCCGACTGAGAATAATCTGGCACATAAGCCAAGCCCATTACTCTTATACCTTAAACAAAACAAAACTATTATTGCATCTAAAATTTTACACAAAACACTACACCTTTACTAGTATCCCATTCGTCTTCATCTTCTTCAGGAAATTCAACTTGATACGGAGCAATCTTGATCCAATTGTACAATTTCCTACAGCAAGCCTTGAGCACAAATTCTTTGGCTTCAGCTAAAAGCACTCTTCTAAGCTCAGCTTGTAAGTCTGGAATGACGCAACGAGTCAAAGCCCGCTCAACACACTCTGATCTAACTTTATTCCACTCTTGTACATTTTTACTAAACTCATCTCTAATATATAATTGCTTGACTTCATCTATAAAAGAACTAGATGTATGTCCTTCAATAGTACTACTTATTTGAATTGTAACTAGTTGATCCTCTTCAGCTAAAGTTAGCTTAAGGAATTGATCCCCTGCCAAATCTCTTACTGGTTTATTTTTCAAATACTTCATCGAAAAACAATTATGGGCTTCATCAATTACTTTTTGTCCTTTCTTGGTTGGATTAACAGTAATTTTAGCACGTTCGTAAAATACCTCTCTAACACACTTGCGTACTAGTGGTTCCCGTGCAATTTGCAAAGCAACCATATATTTTGCAGCCTGCATAACTTCTTCAACAGTTTGAAATTTGGGACAAACATATTGTCGAGCAACTTCGTTTGGTTCACCTGCTTCTTGATCGACGTCGTGTCTTTGGTAATTGTCCCGTAAGTTTTCGGCAAAATGTTCAGGCGAAAGCCCAAATCTTTTGGCTAAACTTTCCAAACCTGCCCGGCTGCATAATGAATACGAACCTGATCTGTTTGCGTATTTGATTGTTTCAGGTTCGGGTTCGTCGTCTTGGTCTTCGTCTGGGATTTCTTCTGGGATGTCTGCACCGTCTTCAGCTTCAGCAATAGCTTTTAGTCTGGCTTCACGTCTCAGTTGCTTTTTGCGTTCTTTTTCTTTTAGACGCCAGGCAGCGTGCATTGCAGGCAAATCGTTTGCGTAATATAAAATAAAATGATTATGGACATCGTTTAATTCCTCGACTGTTTGGACGTTTTTTAGGCGCTCGATGTCGTTGTCTTTTATTATGCGTAAGTTATCGGGTAAGGGTGCGTCAGGGTCTTTCATAACCTGATCCATTTGGTAGGAGCGCATTTTTTCAAACAGATTCAACAAGTTTTCCTTTCTGGTTTTTAGCTGGCACCATTTGGCGTCAAATTTGTAAACTTTCCATAAATCGTTTATGTTTAGTTCAGGCTGTACGTATTCTTTTCTGTAGAAGGCTATGAAAGGTACTTCAAGATGTTGGTTGCGCATGAATTCTAAAGCTTTTCTTATTTTGCCTATAGCTAGGGGGCCTTTGCGTTGTTTTTCGCGAGCCTCTTGAGTCAGATTTACGTCCATATTGGATACAGTGCTTTTGCAAAAGGCTTGTTTGTAGATCCATTCGGCTTCATCGTCTAATTCAGTTGAATCATCAGGCACTGTTGTTAATGGGACATCTCTAAGTTGCATTCTTTCTGGGATGTCTGTACTACGGATTTCGTTATCTAAATCAGTAAAGAAGCCTCGTTTAAGCTCAGACGGTTCATAGATTTCAAATATTGACTTTTTGGTTGGGCGTTTTTTGGCTGCCTTTTTCTGGCGGCGTCTTCTTTCGCCTTCTTCGTCCTCCTCATATTCATCTTCTTCATCTTCCTCTTCATCATCGTATTCATCATATTTCGAAAATTCATCATAATCGAAATCGACTCCAAAGGTTTCTTGGGCCTCTTGCAAAGCAGCATCAGTAAAGATGGGCTTCTTCTTTTTTCGGGCTATTGGTTTACCGTCGTCGTCAACGATGAAATCATCTGCGTCTGAGTATTCGCCTTCGTCTTCTTCTTCAGCAAATTGATCTGGATCGACAACTGTTGGTCTGTGACTGCGTTCAGAATGTCTTTCATCATCCTGAATATTAAATTAATTATAACAATATAATAAACAATTTATTTCTGATAAAAGAGACTAAGTATCTTCCACAAATTTGTGGGAAATACTTACTTTGTCTTGTTCATTACATATTACCTTTCTACTTCCTCCATCTCTTTCCTTTATTTTTATTTAGAAAGTAGGCAAGAGAAATATTCATTTAGAAAAGCAATTTGTTAATATAGAACTAAATACTTACATCTTCAGAAAATAAATCGTTAGCGATTTGTTCTCTGTCTTGTTCAGCGTCGTTTTCGTCTTCTCCTTCGCTTTCTTCGTCTTGAATTCTTCTCAGTCTTTTGAATTTCTAATAAACAATATTATTAAGTATATGTGCTGACTTTTTTTTGAATATAAGATCAGCAATCATTTGTAATTTTATTGAGTAAATATACACGCAACAGGTGAAAAGTTCCTAGAAAATTACAACAAACTTTATTTTGAGAATGTTTTAAGGAATTAAACATCAATCAGAACTTTGGATAAATATGTTAAGGATACTCTTAACCATCGATAAAGAAACTGTGTTTTGGTCAAGTTATTCAAGTACAAACGAGTGAATAGTTGAGGAACTTATGGGCAACCATCTATTCATCAATATGTTGTGTAATTACGATACTAACTTGACTCACTCAAATGTGAGTTATTCTCATTAGTTTAACAACTACACGTTTCAAGTGAATGTCTTACTTAAACAGTTCACCAGTATATTGGCGAGTAGATGGCTGCTTTTTAAACTAATGAAAATAACTCATATTTGAGTGAGTCAGGTTAGTATCGTAATTAAACAACATATTGATGAATAGAGGTCCACCCATAAGTTCCGCAATAATTCACCTATTTGTACTTGAACATTAACTTATTATATAGTCAGAATTTGTAAGATTATTCACTTTTTGTTAATTTGCCTTTCAACAGGAATTAGTAATGTTACTTTACTAAACTAGTAACATAATGTGACAAGTTATTTAAGTACAAATGAGTGAATTGTTGCGGAACTTATGGGTGGACCTCTGCGGGACGAGCGTAGCGAGTTCCGCAGCCATCTATTCATTAATATGTTGTTTAATTACGATACTAACCTGACTCACTCAAATATGAGTTATTTTCATTAGTTCAAGAACTACAAGTTTCAAGTGAATGTCTTACTTAAACAGTTCACTGGTATATTGGTGAGTAGATGGCTGCGGAACTCGCTACGCTCGTCCCGCAGAAGTCCACCCATAAGTTCCGCAATAATTCACCTATTTGTACTTGAACAATAACTTATTATATAGTCAGAATTTGTAAGATTATCGACTTTTTGTTAATTTGCCTTTCAACAGGAATTAGTAATGCTACTTTACTAAACTAGTAACATAATGTGACAACTTATTTAAGTACAAATGAGTGAATTGTTGCGGAACTTATGGGTGGACCTCTGCGGGACGAGCGTAGCGAGTTCCGCAGCCATCTATTCATTAATATGTTGTTTAATTACGATACTAACCTGACTCACTCAAATATGAGTTATTTTCATTAGTTTAACAACTACACGTTTCAAGTGAATGTCTTACTTAAACAGTTCACCAGTATATTGGTGAGTAGATGGCTGCTTTTTAAACTAATGAAAATAACTCATATTTGAGTGAGTCAGGTTAGTATCGTAATTAAACAACATATTGATGAATAGATGGCTGCGGAAATCGCTGCGCTCGTCCCGCAGAGGTCCACCCATAAGTTCCGCAATAATTCACCTATTTGTACTTGAACATTAACTTATTATATAGTCAGAATTTGTAAGATTATTCACTTTTTGTTAATTTGCCTTTCAACAGGTATTAGTAATGTTACTTTACTAAACTAGTAACATAATGTGACAAGTTATTTAAGTACAAATGAGTGAATTGTTGCGGAACTTATGGGTGGACCTCTGCGAGACGAGCGTAGCGAGTTCCGCAGCCATCTATTCATTAATATGTTGTTTAATTACGATACTAACCTGACTCACTCAAATATGAGTTATTTTCATTAGTTCAAGAACTACAAGTTTCAAGTGAATGTCTTACTTAAACAGTTCACTGGTATATTGGTGAGTAGATGGCTGCGGAACTCGCTACGCTCGTCCCGCAGAAGTCCACCCATAAGTTCCGCAATAATTCACCTATTTGTACTTGAACAATAACTTATTATATAGTCAGAATTTGTAAGATTATCGACTTTTTGTTAATTTGCCTTTCAACAGGAATTAGTAATGCTACTTTACTAAACTAGTAACATAATGTGACAACTTATTTAAGTACAAATGAGTGAATTGTTGCGGAACTTATGGGTGGACCTCTGCGGGACGAGCGTAGCGAGTTCCGCAGCCATCTATTCATTAATATGTTGTTTAATTACGATACTAACCTGACTCACTCAAATATGAGTTATTTTCATTAGTTCAAGAACTACAAGTTTCAAGTGAATGTCTTACTTAAACAGTTCACTGGTATATTGGTGAGTAGATGGCTGCGGAACTCGCTACGCTCGTCCCGCAGAAGTCCACCCATAAGTTCCGCAATAATTCACCTATTTGTACTTGAACAATAACTTATTATATAGTCAGAATTTGTAAGATTATCGACTTTTTGTTAATTTGCCTTTCAACAGGAATTAGTAATGCTACTTTACTAAACTAGTAACATAATGTGACAACTTATTTAAGTACAAATGAGTGAATTGTTGCGGAACTTATGGGTGGACCTCTGCGGGACGAGCGTAGCGAGTTCCGCAGCCATCTATTCATTAATATGTTGTTTAATTACGATACTAACCTGACTCACTCAAATATGAGTTATTTTCATTAGTTCAAGAACTACAAGTTTCAAGTGAATGTCTTACTTAAACAGTTCACTGGTATATTGGTGAGTAGATGGCTGCGGAACTCGCTACGCTCGTCCCGCAGAAGTCCACCCATAAGTTCCGCAATAATTCACCTATTTGTACTTGAACAATAACTTATTATATAGTCAGAATTTGTAAGATTATCGACTTTTTGTTAATTTGCCTTTCAACAGGAATTAGTAATGCTACTTTACTAAACTAGTAACATAATGTGACAACTTATTTAAGTACAAATGAGTGAATTGTTGCGGAACTTATGGGTGGACCTCTGCGGGACGAGCGTAGCGAGTTCCGCAGCCATCTATTCATTAATATGTTGTTTAATTACGATACTAACCTGACTCACTCAAATATGAGTTATTTTCATTAGTTTAACAACTACACGTTTCAAGTGAATGTCTTACTTAAACAGTTCACCAGTATATTGGTGAGTAGATGGCTGCTTTTTAAACTAATGAAAATAACTCATATTTGAGTGAGTCAGGTTAGTATCGTAATTAAACAACATATTGATGAATAGATGGCTGCGGAAATCGCTGCGCTCGTCCCGCAGAGGTCCACCCATAAGTTCCGCAATAATTCACCTATTTGTACTTGAACATTAACTTATTATATAGTCAGAATTTGTAAGATTATTCACTTTTTGTTAATTTGCCTTTCAACAGGTATTAGTAATGTTACTTTACTAAACTAGTAACATAATGTGACAAGTTATTTAAGTACAAATGAGTGAATTGTTGCGGAACTTATGGGTGGACCTCTGCGAGACGAGCGTAGCGAGCTCCGCAGCCATCTATTCATTAATATGTTGTTTAATTACGATACTAACCTGACTCACTCAAATATGAGTTATTTTCATTAGTTCAAGAACTACAAGTTTCAAGTGAATGTCTTACTTAAACAGTTCACTGGTATATTGGTGAGTAGATGGCTGCGGAACTCGCTACGCTCGTCCCGCAGAAGTCCACCCATAAGTTCCGCAATATTTCACCTATTTGTACTTGAACAATAACTTATTATATAGTCAGAATTTGTAAGATTATCGACTTTTTGTTAATTTGCCTTTCAACAGGAATTAGTAATGCTACTTTACTAAACTAGTAACATAATGTGACAACTTATTTAAGTATAAATGAGTGAATTGTTGCGGAACTTATGGCGGAACTCGCTACGCTCGTCCCGTAGCCATCTATTCATTAATATGTTGTTTAATTACGATACTAACCTGACTCACTCAAATGTGAGTTATTCTCATTAGTTTAAAAACTACACATTTTAGGTGAATGTCTTATTTGAACAGTTCAATAGTGTATTGGTAAGTAGATGACAGCCTTTACCTTTACAAGTAGATGAAAGATGTAAATACAAAAGTTGTACAGTTTTGGCTGAATTTTTAGAAACCCTGGTCAGAAACAAAATTTGAATGTCAGAAATGTGAAATTTTGCATACTTTCAGCTTTTTTCAAATGGGATGCCCTATATTTCATTCTACCAGTCTGGCAAGTGAACATCTTACATGCCAATTTAAATGCAATAGAATGAAATGTCTAGAAAAAGTCTAAGGTTGAATAGAGAACGAAAACGATTTCCCCTGTTCTACTTCCAGCGTTCTCAGCGTTGCATGCTGGAGGTGGAACAGGGGAAATCGTTTTCGTTCTCTATTTAACCTTGGACTTTTCCTATACATTTCATGCTATTGCATAAAAATTGGCCTGTGGTGAAGCACTATCTTGTAATAATAAGGTATTTCATGTTGCGATTTCTTAAAAAAGATGCTGGCTTGCCAGACCTGTATATTCTTGGAGAGCACAATGCCCCTATCTATATTTGATTGAGCAATCTCTCATATATTTGGCTCCAAAAATTGTGAAAATACTATTCTACCACTAGTATTTTTAAAATTTTAAGAACCAAATATGTTGTAGATGGCTCAACCAAATATGGACCAACTATATAGTTTTCGAATCGGGAAATTGTGCTCTTCAAGAATATTGAACCAGATATAGTGCATCCCGTTTGAAAAAACCATGCAATAATTCACATTTCTGATATTCAATTTTTGTTTTTTACCATGGATTCTAAAAATTTAGCCAATAGTGTACAACTTTTGTACTTACATCTTTCATCTACTTGTAAAGGTAAAGGCTGTAGGTGGGGTGTCAATACATAAAAAAAACAACCTATACATATTATCCGTTCACAATCCGATGTCCACAGGTACAGGTAAAATGTATCACCTTTCAATGCTATTTGATAGGGAAAGGTGATAAATGTACCTGCACCTGTGGACATCGGATTATGAACAGGATATACTTTACACACACTGGTTAAAAGAGCATTTTATTAAACTCTGACTCTTTCACCAGAAATTGGATATTTCGAAAGCAATTCTCGTTAGTAAATCAAATATCTAGAAAATAGCAAAATCTTAATAATTCATAACTTTACAAATCTACAGCTATATCAAGGTCTGTTCTCACAACAATCACAAACCAGAGAGAGGGTTTTTGATTGATGCAAATTGCCAACACAGACTATTTTCAACCAATGAAATTTGCCCTGACTGTTTTGGGATTTCTGTGAAAACAGACCTTTAATTTCCAATTACCAAAAATCTTGGAATTCTCCAATTTACATGTAGAACAAGTGAAATTTATAAAGGGATACAAAATACAACACGATTATTATATTTATTAATACCAAAATGTGAAGAAACTGGGACTATTTTAGGAGTTGGTAAAACAGGTGGCAAAATAAACCAAAGTAAAATGACTATAGTGTGCGAAGGAATAAACAACTTCTCAAGAATTCACCAATAGTGATGAGCGATAATATATCACGAACTGTGATTTCATCACTGATATCTAAAAATCACGAATCACGACTGCTACCAAAGTTCTATAATAAACGTGACGTGATCACGGCAATGTAGCAAACTAATTTCTTGTCTTTTAAGAATAATTTTTTGCCGCTGCGATATTTGAAAGATTTCAGCTACCAAATATCTCAACCGCTAGTAGAAAAAAAATAACATCTGTCAGCATCAGTTTCAGTTGTACTAAAGTATATTGAAAGTCGTGATTGTCACACTTTAAAATCACTGATATTCAAAAATCACGGTATCAGTTAACAGTTTGATTTGGAAACCACAGTATCGCTCATCACTATTCTCCAACTTGTTGGTTTCTAGCTGAAATACAATTTATTTGTAGAAAATTCTTACTCTTCTTTCCACTTTAACCCCCAAGTTTTCTTCCAACAAGTCATAATCTTCATCTTCCAGTCTGTCATCCAAATCTTCTTCATCATCAGATTTCTTCCTTTTCTGACGCCCAGAAGCATCAGAATCTTCCCCATCACTTTCATCTATTGGATTATCATCGATGAGGTCTTTCAAATCTTCTCTCAGTCTATCATCATCTATATATAATAATATAATGATTTATCTTGTGACCTACTACTACAAATGCTTACCTAAGGCCCCTAAGGGTCAGTCAGATTCTCAATAGCAAGTCACCTCAGGGTTAGTTTCAACTCCAGGGTAAACGTGTCCAGTTGTACTGTTTACCCTGGAGTTATGCTTACCGGGGGCTGACGTACTATTGAAAAACCAGCCCTAATTGAGTTAGAACATATTTTCACTTACCATCTTCTTCCTCTTCAGAACTATCGTCCATTGCTTTGACTTTTTTGAGTTTTTTACGTTCATGAGGCTCCAATTCCTCCTCCTGTAAGCAAATAAATTAAATAATTGTGACTTCCATAGGGGCCCCATTATTGAGGCTTCGATGTATGGGTAAAATGGGTCTGTTTGCTTACCTCGCTGCTTACTTCCGCTTCAGAATCGATGAAATCAGCCATTTCTAAGTCCTGGATGTTACTTAAGCACTGTTATTTGATTATTAGTTAAATTTAAACTAAATTCATTAGGTTTATTTTATTTTTGTTGGGCCAAAGGGAACTTATTCAATAAACCCTTTTTTAAACAACCTGACAAAATAACATGTCATTTTTGGGTTTGGAAAATCTGACAACATTGAACAATGTGTTTTTGTTGCTGTCTCTGCTTAACTGCATGGACAAGACAAAGACATACACACATTTCTACTCGATAATTCTTTTGAATCTAAGTTCATAGATGGCGCTGATGTTATTATTTCCCAGTACATCATACCGGTGTTAAAAGTGCTGATTTGAGTTTAAATAAGAGTTCCAAATTTCGATAATTGTACTCGCTTCGGCGGTACATATACTAAAATTGGAACGATACAGAGAAGATTAGCATGGCCCCTGCGCAAGGATGACACGCAAAATCGTGAAGCGTTCCACATTTTTTTGCGATTTTTTCCTTTTCTGCACTCATTTTAAATCGTCAAAGTACCATTTTTCCTAATGATTTTTCCGGACTAGTCCGAAAAGTCTCTTTTCTTCACTTGTTTTCTTGGCCAAACTCCTCTACGCGTCGTTCAGTCAACTGCAATCGCGTGCGGAAAAGTGGTACTTTCCGTACTAGTTAAGAAATAAGAAGCATGAAAATTCTCTTCTCAGTTTGTTTAAATGTAGTTTTGATTTAATTTTACACCTTGCTGAGAGTGATTTTTGATGCAGTCTATTGGTTCTTCAAATTTTTAAAGATTTAAATCTGTATTTGGCAACGTCGCAAATAACATGGAGAAGTTCGAGTTAATTTCTTATCCTCGTTCTTCTGATTAAAAGGAAAAAGATGAAAGAAGGTCCAGTGTTTCAAGACTCGCGGCAACAATGTAGCCAAATGTCACCCAACTGACATTTGATTCATTCAATAAATACAAATATCGTTTTTTATTAATTAATTTAATTTGCTCCTCCTTTTTGTAGTAAAATTATTACTATTTTTTTTTTGTTGTTGCTTTTGGCCTTTTTGTTAAACAAATAATTAAGTAATTAATTAGTGTATCCCTAAAACCACAAATCCAGTGCCTAATTAGTTTAATTTACAAGTGCCCATAGAAGGTTATTAGATGATTTTTGATCTCATTAATCAGGTAAAAAAGTGAAAAACAATCCTTATCAAACTAATTAATTAAATACCTCATACTTAAGGTGTGTACCAATATTACCAATTAATTAATTTTTAGGATAATGATGTACCATACAAATATAATGTAAACACAGCATGATCGAAAGCGTTTCGAAACGAGCATTCGGTGGTTCCAGTGGTTCGTATAATGTGCAAGCCTTAGAACTGGCCGCTGCAAGGGAACGAAAGCTGAAAGGCTTGAGCATAGTTGTTAGGTAAAAATGAGGTCATTTTTGTATATTTATACTAATTGTTCTCATTAGATTATTTATTTGTGTCAGTGGACAAACAATAAACAATAAATGTCATTGACTCTGGATTGTTGGATAAGTATTAATTTTTCATATAGCAAAGGTTGGAATAGAATCCATAAGAAATAAGTGTAGTAAAAGATCTTCAGAATTAATGGTTTAGGGCCAAATTATGGACTGACTGGTAAAAGTTTGGTTGTTACTTAGCAGGTACTTTCTATGCACTAGAGAATAGAAAGTACCTGCTAGGTAACAACCAGACACTTACCAGTTGGTCCATGATTTGGCCCTAAGGCTGTGGTCTGAATATAACCAGGGTTGTGGTTTCGCGGTCCGAAAGTAATCAAATCACTCTGGTTCCTGGAAAAGTGGTTACTTTTGGACCTCGGTTTCCTGAAATCTGGTTAACCAAATGTCAAAATAGTTAGGTTCTGTTGGTTTTATCTGTAATTTCTGTCAATTATTTTATATTTCCTATTTGCATTCCCCAAGTAACCAGAATTTTCAGTAACCATCTGTCAACCAATTCGGTTACTTTGGTTAACGTTTGGTTATATTCGGACCATAGCTTTAATAAGCTAAAATTTGGTACAGATTGTTCTGACAATAACTGACAACATGTCATACAACATAACAGGTAAATGGATAGGAAACACGGTAAATAAGGTAATGAGATATTATGCAACATTCTTCCTTGCTCAGTTTTTGACATGATCTTGAAGATATGAAGGTGGCTTTTACCATAACACGACCAGATTCATCAGTAGATTTTACTGTAGATAATGCTGGAAGATTTTCGTTGTGAGATTGTTCACAATTTTGCGGAATCATTTATAGGGAATGAAAATGATAAACATTCTCAACTGACTGATGTAAGGTTTTCTTTAGGAATAGTTAATTCATTAAAATCTTGTTCTGATAGCAATTTGATCTTGTTCTGGTAATGTCACATCATTTTGATCTTCATCTGGCAGTGTCACATTTCCCCTTGGTGCTAAATGACGAGTTGATGTAGTGATTTCTCTTTCATTTGATAGGCATACATATATATTACTGTTGCAGATGACATATTATCTGAACGTGGAAATGCAAACGGAAATTTTGAGTATTCACAATGTTTAATAAATATTTGTTGTGATTTTTGTAAGGCAATGGTCCCTTAAAATATTTAATCTTTCAAATGTTGCTATGGCTTTAATGAGAGTTTCTGTGTTGGAATAAGGTAAATTTTTTGCATCTAATCTAATGATAATGATAGAATCTTGTGACACCAGGAGGACACATGTGTTGTGTGATTTATACAAATTTTTCTTTGATGTTGATGGTTGAATAGCAGCTGATATCCTGGAAGGTTAGTCAGCTACAATGTTTTGATTTCCTGGTCTGTATACGATATCAAATTTGTAGCATGATAATTCTATTTTCCAACACATTATTTTCTCTTATTGTCAAACATAAATGTAGTGGATCTCTGATCAGTGATTATACTAAATTGTCCTATTGAATAATGCCTCCATTTTCTTATAGCTTCTATTATTGCGTATGCTTCTTTCTCTATAATAGGATGATTATGTTCTATTTTTGTTAAGGTTCTTGAGAAAAATGCTACCAGTTCACCATTTTGTATCAGTTGAGCACCAATAGCAAAATCAGAATTCTGTGTTTTCCAAGGGGTAAACCACCATCCCAGATTTGGTGCAAACAATTCCTCAAAGGGGAATTTTTTTGTATAATTCCTCAAAATTCCTGCAAATTCCTCCAGATACCCTATCACGAATTCCTTCAAATACCCCACCACGAACTTCTCCAAATACCCCACAAATTCCTCTAAAAAAAGGAAAAATTTTGAAACTTTCTGCATGTAAAGAGGAAGATGAGAAGATCATTTTTCCAAAATTTAAAAGTTTTCCAGTGGAAAACAGCAACATGAAAAATTTTGGAAATCAACCTACAATTATTGAATTAATTGAAAATATAGTCTCACATATCTCAGAGTTTTCCTGGAAAACTAGCGAAAAGAAAATTTTGAAACTTTTTGCATGTAGAGAGAAAGCTGAGAAGCTCATTTTCCCAAAATTTCAAAATTTTTCACTAGAAAACAGCAACATGAAAAATCTTGGAAATCAACCTACAAAAATTGAATTAGTTGAATATACAGTCTCACAAATTTCAAAGTTTGCCTAGAAAACTAGTAAAGGGAAAATTTTAAAACTTTTTGCATGTAAAGAAGGTGAGAAGCTCATTTTCTCGAAGTTTCAGATTTTTCCAGTGGAAAATAACAACATGAGGAATATTGGAAATCAACCTGCAATTACTGAATTAATTGAAAATACAGTATCACATATTCAAAGTTTTCCTGGAAAACTAGAGAAGGAAAAATTTTGAAACATTTTGCATGTAAAGAGGAAGGTGAGAAGCTCATTTTCTCAAAATTTCAATTTTTTCCAGTGGAAAATAACAATATGAGGAATATTGGAAATCAACCTACAATAACTGAATTAATTGAAAATACAGTCTCACACATTTCAAAGTTTTCCTGGAAAACTAGTGAAGGCAAAAATTTGAAACTTTTTGCATGTGAAGAGTAGAAAGGTTGAAAAATCATATTCCCAAAATTTCAAATTTTTCCAGTGGAAAATTACAACATAAAGAATCTTGGAAATCAACCTACAATAACTGAATTAATTGAAAATACAGTCTCACTCATTTCAAAGTTTTTCTAGACAACTAGTGAAGGGAAAATTTTGAAACTTTTTGCATGTAAAGAGAAAGGTGAGATCAATTTTTTAAAATTTCAAATTTTTCCAGTGAAAAACAGTAAGATGAAAAATCTTGGAAATCAACCTACAAAAACTGTATTCATTATTCTTTTGAATTTGACAATTTCCTTTAAATTCCTCATAAATTCCTCACAAATTCTCCCAAATTCCCCATAAATTCCTCCAATTTCCTATAAATTCCCCACATTTTTGGCAAAGAATTCCTAGGTGGTTTGCCCATTGGTGTTTTCACTGTAAATGGAACCTTTTCATCAACGAACGTTACAGTGTTAATAGTTTTAGAACTTGAAAATAAATTACAAGAATATTTCTAATAAAATTATCCCCATATCTTTTTATTATAGATTTTTGGACGACACAGATCACACGTTTTACATAGAAAAACGTGCAAAAGGCTCAAATTTACTCGACCAAGTCTACAATCACCTTGAACTAGTCGAAAAAGACTATTTCGGCCTACAATACCCTCAAAATGGTTGCACTAATCGGAACTCAGAATGTATAGTGAGTAATATACCAATAATATTACTAATACAATAACTGAAAAACTACTTTTCCAGTTATGGCTTGATCCGTCCAAATCGATTAAAAAACAATTAGGAACAAACTGCCAACACCCTTTATACTTCAGGGTAAAATTCTACGTATCAGACCCTAGTAAATTGCATGAAGAATATACACGTTATCAATTCTACTTACAAATAAGGAGCGACATTTTACAAGAAAGGCTTATATTACCTCAATCCACTGCCATATTATTAGCTAGTTACATAGTCCAATCTGAAATAGGCGATTACAATTCAGAGGAACACAAATCAGATTATTTATCACATTTGAATTTGATCCCCAATCAAACTGAAGAAATGGAAAGGAAAATTGCAGAGTTGCACAAGTTGCACAAAGACCAATCGCCTGCGGATGCAGAGTTCAATTTTTTAGACCATGCAAAAAGACTAGACATGTATGGAGTAGAGCTACATAAAGCAAAAGACAATACAAACAAAAATATACAACTAGGTGTAACCCATATTGGTTTGGTTGTTTTTCATAATAATTTGAAAATAAACACATTTAGTTGGTCGAAAATAATGAAAATTTCTTTTAAAAGGAAACAGTTTTTTATACAATTGAGGAGAGAGCCTTCTGAAGACTATGATACTTTGTTGGGATTTAATATGGAAAATTATAGATCATCAAAAACTTTATGGAAAGCTTGCGTTGAACATCATACATTTTTCAGATTAGATTCACCCAAAATCAAAAGAAAGTTTTTGTCTTTGGGTTCTAAATTCACTTATTCAGGTCGTACCGAATTTCAAACAGTATCAGATGTTAAGCGTAAAGGGATTTTGGAAAGGAAATTTGTTAGGTCTCCTAGTAAGGTTTTGGTAAGGGTTTTTATAGCTTAGTTATTGTGGTTTTGAGTTTTTGATGTTGCAGATAAAAGATAAAATGCCACTTACGCCACCGCCTTTAGAGGATAAAGGGAAAGTGTCTGTTGCCCCACCAAGACCTTCTCGGCCTTATGATACTCATAAGGTTACTACTACTTGTACTAAGGAACCGAAACAGGCTTGGACTGAAGATATTCGAATATCTGATGAGTATGTTGATATTTATTTTAACTATTTAGCATATATTCATAATGGTGTATAATTTATTTTGATTTTCAAAATTTTAATGCAAATATTGGCAATTTATTCAGTGATGGTGGTTTTCTTGAAAGAACCCTAGAAGGCCCATTTTCCCCCGGCATAGCTGGCCGTGTAATGAGCTACGCAGACGAAGAAATACCCTCGCCAGTATCAAACGGAGTCTACGACACACCCCCTTACAGTGTCAGCCAATCGCCAACGTCTCAGATTGTAGACGAAAATCTCACTACTATCACTTTGTATCCGGACCAAGATGGAAAATATGGTTTCAATGTGAAAGGTACCTACTTGAAAACATCTACAGGATGTACCATTTAAAACGAAATAGGCTAAATATCTGTTACCAAGTTTATTTTAAAAAAAAATCAAAATGATTTGAAAATCTTAGAAACCTGGCTAACAATAAACAAACTGACTATTAATTTTGATAAATCATCATTCATGGTTATAAAGAAAAGGAACCTTCGGACTGAAAATAATTATGGACCAAGAACCAATAACTTTAGGACAAAAACAAATTAAATATAGAAAGTTCACTCGTTTTTTGGGATTAATAATTAATGAAAACTTAAGTTGAACAGAACTTAATAATAATCTAAGAGAACATTTATCCTCTTAGGGACCAAATTATGGACTGACTGGTAAACGTCTGCTTGTTACCTAGCAGGTACTTTTTATGCACTAGAGAATATAAAGTACCTGCTAGGTAACAACCAGACACTTACCAGTTGATTCATAATTTGGCCCTTAGTAGGTATAATGCTCAGGGTGTCCCACGATGGATAGCGTATTAGACGTTTATGGAGAACTAAAAAGCGGATCATTTTGAAAATTTGGCAACCGGTATAAACAACCATAATCTACACTTTAAAAATATTTTTGTTTATGCGGTGTTGCCGCTTCTACCCTAAACCAGTGGCAACAGCGCTATTTTAAATGGAACACCCTGTATCTGATTACATATTTGGATTTTAAGTAAAATTCTGAGCAGATTTCATGATATACCCTATACCTAAGTTCAACTGTTTTGGAATTATTGACAGTTGAAAATCGACTTTATGCAACTTTAACAGGCTGTAAAACCTGAATGGTTAATTTTAGAGAAAAACCGATTTTACATTCCTATCCTAGATTTTTATAAACTATCATTTGATACCAACTTCAAATTTAATCCATGATTAAAAATTCCAATTAAATTTAATCTCCGGGTAAATTCAAAGTTGGTGTCAAATGATAGTTCATGAAAATCTAAGATAGGAATGTAAAATTGGTTTTTCTCTTAAATTAACCATTCAGGTTTTACAGCCTGTCAAAGTTGCAAAAAGTCAATTTTCAACTGTCAATAATTCCAAAACAGTTGAACTTAGGTATAAGTACCTGCTACGTAACAACCAGGCACTTACCAGTTGGTCCATAATTTGGCCGTAATTAAACAACATATTGATGAATAGATGGCTGCGGAACTCGCTGCGCTCGTCCCGCAGAGGTTCACCCATAAGTTCCGCAACAATTCACTCATTTGTACTTGAATAACAACCATTTATTCATTAATATGTTGTTTAATTACAATACTAACCTGACTCACTCAAATGTTAGTTATTCTCATTAGTTTAAGAAGTAGACGTTTCAGGTGAGTTTCTTATTTGAACAGTTCAACAGTATATTGGTGAGTAGATGGCTGCGGAACTCGCTGCGCTCGTCCCGCAGAGGTCCACCCATAAGTTCCGCAATAATCCACTTATTTGTACAGGGTGTTTTTTTATATATTGACACCCCACCTACAGCCTTTACCTTTACAGGTAGAAGAAAGGTGTAAATACAAAAGTTGTACAGTTTTAACTGAATTAGGCAATTCAATCCATCTGTCAAAAAGGAAAATTCAATGTGGCGTGGCGGCCAATCAAGTTTGTTTTGGTTATGTTTTTATGCGTATTTTAAATTATTTTGCATACAGTTTTGCTTACAACTTTGATTTTCATTATTTAATAAAATATTTCTTGACTATAGGTAACTAAACTATTAATTCCGGCAAAAAAACTAGATATTTTTTTGTGTTTTTTGGCCCATGTGTGGCCGCCACGCCATCTTGAATGTCATGTGGTTTGAATTGCCTAATTTGTGTGAAATGTGAAATTTTGCTTGCTTGCAGCTATATTTCATTCTATATTCTTGAAGAGCACAATGCCCCGATCTATATTTGATTGAGCAATCTTCCATATTATATTCGGCTCCAAAAATTGTAAAAATACTATCTTATTAGTGATTTTGTGAACCATTCTACCTGTATAGGTGAAAGCTGCAGGTAGAATTTGAGGTACTTGGTTTCTCTGATAGTATTTTTGAAATTTTTAGAATCAAATATGTTTGAGACGGCTCAACCAAATATAGACAAACTATATAGTTTTGGAATCGGGAAATTGTGCTCTTCAAGAATATAGAACCAAATATAGCGCATCCCATTTGAAAAAAGCTGAAAGCATGCAATATTTCACATTCCTGACATTCAATTTTTGTTTCTGACCATGGATTCTAAAAATTTAGTCAATACTGTACAACTTTTGTATTTGCACCTTTCATCTACCTATAAAGGTAAAGGCTGTAGGTGGGGTGTCAATATATAAAAAAAACACCCCTACTAATCCACCTGCAATAAGGTTTGTTGGGAAATAAACTTTAACCTTCTAGGTAGGGTGGGACCAACTTTCACTATTTTAAATGGAACAAGGGGTCGAGTGATACCTTTTTTAAAAGAGCATTCAATTCTCTTCCATTTGAATGAAAATTTGGATGCTCTTTTAAAACAGGTATCATTTGACTCCCTGTTCTATTTGGTAAGAGTTAATACAACACCCCCTAGAGAAATTGATATTAGATGTTAAGCCTGTTTCGTTTCAAATGATACACCCTGTATATAGTATATAGACAATATTTTTGATAAACAAGTATTTTTTCTCAAGGTGGTACCGAAATTAGTGTTCCAATATTAGTATCCAGAGTAGCACCGAACACTCCAGCCGACAAATGCGTACCAAGATTATCCGAAGGCGATCAAATCCTTCAAATCAACGGGCACGACATAACTCAGGCCCTTCAGCCTGAAGTTGTCGCTCTGGTACAAGAAGCCAGAGCTACTGAATCAGGCAAATTGGTTCTAAGTGTCAGGCCTAACGTTTTATACCAAGATGAGGAGTTTGAAGAACCGCCTTATCAATATGTACCAGCGAATGATGTTGGTACCCCTACTGTGGGTAGTTTGCTTGAACAAAGCATGTATTTATTGGCCGATGGCTTGGCTAGTGGGGCTTTAATCGCCCGCTATGAAACTTTATACCGAAAACATCCAGATTTGACTTGTAATGAAGCAAGCAAAACAACCAATGTCAATAAGAACCGATACAGAGACATTTCACCATGTAAGTCAAGTTAAAACTTTCAACCTACAATACATTGTTTTTATTTTAGATGATCAAACGAGGGTAGTCTTGAAAAATGCCCCAAACGGCGACTACATTAATGCAAACTTCGTTGACATGAAAATCCCCAGCACTGAAATAACAAACAAATACATTGCCACCCAAGGCCCTTTACAATCAACCACTGAAGACTTTTGGCAAATGGTCCTTGAACAAGAATCCAACCTAATAGTAATGCTCACTACAGTTATAGAAAGAGGCCGTGCCAAGTGCCACAAATATTGGCCAGGAGCAGGCGAAGTGCTCACAATGCAAAACGCCATAGTAAAGTGCACCCGAGAACAAACCGATCCAAGCAATAATTTCATTTTTAGAGACTTTGTCTTAATCGATGTCAAAAACGATAATGAATCAAGAGAAATCAAACACATGCAATATATTGCTTGGCCTGATCACGGAGTGCCAGATTCACCTCAGCAATTTTTGAAATTCACCCAAGATGTGCGTCTAAATAGAACCACAAATAAGCCAGTTATAGTGCATTGTAGTGCTGGAATTGGACGTACTGGTGTTTTGGTGCTCATGGAGACTGCTTTATGTTTGATGGAAGCTGAAGAGCCTATTTATCCTTTGGAGATTGTTAAGACTATGAGAGAGCAAAGAGCCATGATGATACAAAATGCTGTAAGAATTTTTCTATTAGTTGGGTTTTAATAATAATTGTATTTTGTTTCAGAGTCAATACAGGTTTGTGTGCGAAAGCGTTTATGCTGCTTATACGAAAAGTAGCTCAGAAGCTAAATAATTAGAATTGTGATAAAAGAACAATTTATAGTTTACAGTATTTAATTTATTTTAATTCCCATTATGGAAATATTGCGTTTTGTTTCAAAGAAAGGTGTTTTGTAGCTGTGGTGTGCTAGAATGTAATTTTAGTGTGTGCAATAGCTAAATGTATATCTCATATTTTGTATTTTTTATAACACCTAAAGGATTGTTGTACTTTTTAGACGAAATAAAAAAGCCTTGTATGAAAGATTGTTTTGCTTTATCCTCAATAACCACAATTTCCCAACCTATTACAAATTCTTTTATCATAAATTCCTCAATATCTAATTTGTGAAATAGATAAAGTCATGTACACCCTTTTTTGCAAGAAATTGTTTACCATACAATTTTTTTTGCTCGAGAAGGCTTATCAGTACCAAGCAAGTAAATTAATTCTAATCCTCCCATATAAAGAAGTGTACGATTTTTCTTTATTTGTGGTAAGTTTTTATTGATTTAAACATTTTGTTAAAAGTGGCAGAAGTTTAAATAACGCTAATATGTGTATAACTTTAGGCCTATTAACATCAAATAAAAGTAAGTAGTTTCTGTAAGTAGGTGTACACTTGCTTGATGCAAACAAATCTCTGTTAATAATAATTGCATGTATTTTGTTCTTAAATCAACGCCCATACAGATTAAAGGCACGTTTACACTTTCTGAAGAAACTTTATATGTATACGATAAAGGCCATTTTTGCTCAGATAATAATAATATGTAGATCTAGGAATCGTTATCGTACATAAATTTTCTATGTACAGGGTGTCAAGTTATAAAGTATCAACTTCTGTATTTTTTGTTTGATCATACATAAAAAAGTTAAAGGGTGGTACTTTATCACTTGACATCAGAATCTGCTATACAGAAAGTAGTTATTCTTATGTAATTCTGGTGTAAATGTAATACATAAATAGACCCAGTTTCCTACTGTTATCGAGTAAATTATAGTAGCACAATAATCAAAATCAGTGGGCACTAGATTTTGCGTTGGCACCTAATAATTTTCTTTGTTCTTAATTATCAATTTAATTATTAATCCAATAAATAATTATTTTTGCATTCATTAAATATATGTCCCTTCTTGATACATTCAAGATAGCGTAGGATGTAGTTAGAGTGGGTTTGTGGGAAGTGGATTATGATTTTTCATTTTTAACACACAACTATCAAGGTGACTAACTTTTAACTTTAATGGGCATCAGTATGGGTTTTGATGTTGATTTTGAATTACGGTTTTCTGTGAAGATTTTGGATCAGTTTTTTCACGAGAGACCCCTTAACAAGGGGTCTAATTTTGAGCTGTTTATAAAGGGGTAAGTTTGAAATTTTTTGTACCAGGAATTACATAAATTGCTTTGCATTTCTTTAGTTATTGTTTGTGGATATTTAATTAACAAAATGTGTATGAGTCGAAAGTTATTAATTTTCTAGAAAAAATGATGCGACTTTTCAAAAGACGAGATTCAGACCCCAATCCTCATCTAGAAAGCGTTTCGACCCTTCAAAATGAAAACTCTATTGAATTCGGTTCCAGATTACCCAAACCTACTCATCAAAAGCCATGTAAGTAACATAAGCCAAATATTTAACTATTTCTAAAATTATTTATACTTATATAGATTTGTCTACTTGGGGTAAAGCTTGGGACAAAATCACTAGACAAGATTCATTTGAACAAATCCCATACAAAAAACCCATACATCCAGAGGAAATAAAATCCAAAATAAGCCAAGAAGACATCAAAAAAGTCTACGAAATGTACAAAAACGTCAGCAATAATACAGACAACTCTGTCCGCAACAGAACTACCACCAGATCCAGAAGGAATTTAAAATGTGTTTCTGATAATATCGAGCTAAATCAGCAACAGTTTCTGGATTATTTGATGCTGATGAAGCCCAACAATGACGAATTGGACAAGATTTTTGATGAACAAAAGACCCCTAAAAAGAAAACTCGCAAGTCAAAACTGAAATCTATGTTCACAATGAGCAGGTAATAAGTTCTACACCTTTTTCAACAGTACTTACAAATAACTATTCTAAAAAAATACAATTGAAGGTTTCTGAAATACAATATAGAATATACCTACTGTTGGAAACGGTGTAAGTATAATATTTTACGTTATAATTATATGGACAATTCAGTTCTAGTAAAAGTGATGATGAATCAGAAACCCCTTTCAAAAAAATGAACCAGAAATCATCATCAACTGATAGTTTGACCAGCTTGTTAAACTACATAATGCCCAAGAGGCGTCAAAAATCTCCATTGGGAAATGGCAAGTTTAAGTCAGATGAGAGCGGATATGGAAGTGACTCTACCAAAACCACAGCTCTAAATTCGCCAATTGGTTCTATAAAGTCGCAGGTAAGAATTGTCAATTTTTTAATAATCAGTTATTTAATGGTTGTATATAATAGACGAGCCAAGAAGTTGATACTGATGCAGAAATGGACAAAACTCTAGTGGACAAATATAGAGATGTGGATACTGGTGATGATACAGATACAGCTGACGAAGAAATAATGGATACTGAGACTACATACACTTTTAGGTAAAATAAACTGAATTAGGCTCTTCTAGAATAATAAGCTATATTGAATTATTGGAGTTGAGGTGAAAGTTTCGTAAAATTGAATCTGAGTTAGTAGGAAATCAAACCGTAATATCTGACTATTGTAGAATTAGATATAAGCTGAAATCAACCAGAGAAGCATTTTTCAAATCTCATTTTTGGATTTTTTTGAAGCAGAAAGCTAAAACATTCCTCAATGTAGTTTTTTGGAAATTTGATTTTTTCCAGGTTGACATCAATTTACCTTTTGCATCATAAGTTAGTTAATTTCATTCAATGTAATTAGGCTTGAATTAAAGCCAATTAAATCCTCTACAAATGTCTAATGAATCATTTCAATGCAACTTCAATAGTTTCTAAGCTGCGAAGCCTCATATTATTTTTTAATGATTGTTTTTGCAGCAAATTCTATGCTAGAAGCCCCATCAAGTCGGCAACGAAAAAACGTGCCAGATCCAAGTCCCGAGACGATTCAACGAAAAATGAAATCAAAAGACGAACAATCAAATTTTCTCCAGAAAAAGATTTGAACGACTTAAACAAGAATGTTGAAAATATGAAAATAACCGAACCGAAACCAACTGTTTTGGAAAAAGAATTCAAATGTGTAAGATTGAAAGTGAAAAAACCTGAAATGGCTGGCATTAAAATATCGCCCTCTAACAATGGAAAATCTTACTTTTTAACAGAAATTCTACCCAATTCAGTTGCCAGCAAAAACGAAAATCTAAAAATCGGAGACGAAGTCATCAAAGCCAATGGCATCCGCATTAAGGGCCTGCCCTATCAAACAGCCAAAAGGCACTTTGAACCCAAAAACAATGAATTAGAACTTGTAATTTCTAGAACTTCAAAACCTGTCAAAAAACGTACAAACTCTTTCAAGGCCTTTCTAAATAAACCTGCTCAAATTCTGAGCCCCAAAAAAAATCCAGTCAAATCTCCACGAAATAACAACTCAATTCCCAATAAAACTCCTAGCAAATTATCTTTGAGCATTTCGCCTAAAACCCTACAAACTTTGAGCCCCTCTAAATCACAAACTCCTCAAAAATCTTACGTAGGCCTCAACGATATACTGTCAATGGAGAGTAGAGTAACTTTCAGCGAGAAACCACTCCAAAAAAACATCAAAAAACCTCCTCTTTCACCAAAAGGAACTTCAGTTTCAAGAACCCCTTCACCAGGAAATTCACCATCCTTATATGGAATGAGGAAATTTTCATTGTCAAACTCAACAAGGCCACAAATTACCAAATGCCTGCCCATTACTAATGCCAATAAAACCCAAAACAAGACTGTAACTTTTATCAAAGGCCCAGGCAAAAAAAGTCTAGGCTTTTCAATTGTAGGAGGCCGCGATTCGCCCAAAGGCCCTATGGGAATTTATGTGAAGACGATTTTCAAAGATGGCCAGGCCAGTGAGAACAAAACATTACAAGCAGGTTAATAATAATTATTCATTTGATTATTTTATTTATTAATGAACTTTTTTTTTTAGGTGATGAGCTGTTGTCAATTAATGGTACTTCGTTTAAAGGCCGATCCCATTTGGAAGCTGTAGCTTTATTTAAGACTATCAAATGTGGTCAAGTGATTGTTGAAGTAGCCAATAGACAGGGGAATAGAACTTATTCACAGTCAATGTGAATTTTTCATCGATAAAACAAAACATTCTTTGTTACAAATTCTAAAATAACATTGTGATATTGAATTGCTTTAAAAATAATTTAAGGGGTAGTATTTAGGTTGTGGGTTAGTTTGTAGCGTTGTATTTTTTGTACCAATTTTGTTAGGTTTGTAAGTGTGACTATATCAATTTATTAGTTAACAAAAACCTTAGATTGTATCAATGTTAATATGACATTGTTTTTGTGTGACACAATCTGAGGTTATCGTTTGCTAATTAGGCCTTAACTGATTGATCTTAGGGCAACAAACTTCATCTATGTAAATAATTAAAACAAAAATGTTAATTATACTAACAAGGATAATAAAGGTAAATAAAACATGAAAAATTCCTTAACAAAATTTATTTAATTATTGTTTTTTGCTTGCCAAAATGATACCGTCGTATTTCTGTTGGAACCACTTCATGGCGTCCTCTTTCATCAGCCTGTGAGAAAAGCCAACTTTTCCTTGCTTCCTCCTCCTGTGGGCAACATTGAATCCGGGTCTGCCTAATACGACGTAAAAGTCCAGACCGTAGATTCCTATACTTGGGTCGTACTTGATACCCAAATCAATGTGTTCTTGGATACCGAATCCAAAGTTTCCAGATGCTAAGAGAGGATTTCTGTATTTGTAACATTTGCAGATAAAAGACAAGTATTAGTCAAACAATATAAGGATTTCAAATTATCCAGTTGCCATACATGTTAGCTGTTTTAGCAGATTTTTACAAAAATGCACAATGTCACATTTTAACATTTTTCTAAAAAACTATTAACAGGAAAATTATGAAACTTTTGAGGTGAGAAGGGGAAGAGTAGGAGCTGATTTAACTGAAATTTCAAGTTGATCCAGTAAAAAACAAAACCAAGAGAAATTCTTGATAATGAACTTTTAAAAACTAAATAAAATGAAAATGCACCTGTCATGCAATGTCACAGTTTAAGGTTTTTCTGGAAAACTGCTGATGGGAAATTTTTCAAAATTTACAAGGTGAAAAGAGAAAGATTAAGTGATGAGTTAGCTAAAATTTCAATTAAATCCAGTGAAAACTAGTAACAAGAAAAAAATTTGAAAATTTATATTTAAAAACTAAATAAAATGAGAATGCACCTTGTCACAATTTAAGGTTTTTCTGGAAAACTGCTGACGGGAAAATGTTGAAACTAACTGGGTGAAAAGTGGAAGATTGGGTGATGATTTAACTAAAATTTCAATTTAATCTAATGAAAACTAGTAACAAGAAAAATTTTTGAAAATTTATATTTAAAAACTAAGTAAAATAAAAATACACCTTGTTACAGTTTAAGGTTTTCCTGGAAAATTGCTGATGGGAAAATGTTGAAACTTACAGGGTGAAAAGAGGAAGATTAGGTGATGATTCAGCTCAAATTTCAATTCAATCCAGTGAAAACCAGTAACAAGAAAAATTCTTGAAAATTTACATTTGAAAACTAAATAAAATAAAGATGCACCTTGTCACAGGTTGAGGTTTTTCTGGAAAACTGCTAATGGGAAAATTTTGAAACTTACAGTGTAAAATAATAACATGAAGAATCTTTAAAATCAACTTACAAAAACTGCATTAATTGAAAATACAGTATCTCACATTCTAAGGTTTTTCTGGAAAACTAATAGAGGGAAAACTTTGAAACTTTTTGCATGTGCAAAGGAGAGACGGGAGCTCATTTTCCCATAATTTCAAGTTTTTCCTGCGGAAAATAACCACATGGAGAATCTTCAAAATCAACTTACAAAAACTGAATTAATTGAGAATACAGTCTCTCACATTCTATGGTTTTTCTGAAGAACTAATACAGGGAACATTTTCGAACTTTTTGCATGTGAAAAGGAGAGATAGGAGATCATTTTTCCAAAACTTCAAGTTTTTCCAGTAGAAAATAACAACATAAAGAATCTCCAAAATCAACTTACAAAAACTGAATTACTTGAAAATACAGTCTCTCACATATCAAAGTTTTCCTAGAAAACTAATAAAGAGACAATTTTTGAACTTTTTGCATGTAAAAAGGAGAGATAAGAGCTCATTTTCCCAAAATTTCAAGTTTTTACAGTAGAAAATAACAACATGGAGAGTCTTCTAAATCAACTTACAAAAACTGAATTAATTGAAAATACAGTCTCTCACATTCTAAGGGTTTTCTGGAAAACTAATAGAGGGAAAATTTTGAAACTTTTTGCATGTGAAAAGGAGATAGGAGCTCATTTTCCCAAAATTTCAAATTTTTCCAGTGGAAAACAACAACATGAAGAATCTTCAAAATCAACTTACAAAAACTGAATTACTTGAAAATACAGTCTCTCACATATCAAAGTTTTCCTAGAAAACTAATAAAGAGACAATTTTTGAACTTTTTGCATGTAAAAAGGAGAGATAAGAGCTCATTTTCCCAAAATTTCAAGTTTTTACAGTAGAAAATAACAACATGGAGAGTCTTCTAAATCAACTTACAAAAACTGAATTAATTGAAAATACAGTCTCTCACATTCTAAGGGTTTTCTGGAAAACTAATAGAGGGAAAACTTTGAAACTTTTTGCATGTGAAAAGGAGATAGGAGCTCATTTTCCCAAAATTTCAAATTTTTCCAGTGGAAAACAACAACATGAAGAATCTTCAAAATCAACTTACAAAAACTTAATTAATTGAAAATACAGTCTCTTACATTTTAAGGTTTATCTGGAAAACTAATAGAGGAAAAACTTTGAAACTTTTTGCATGTGAAAAGGAGAGATAAGAGCTCATTTTCCCAAAATTTCAAGTTTTTACAGTAGAAAATAACAACATGGAGAGTCTTCTAAATCAAGTTACAAAAACTGAATTAATTGAAAATACAGTCTCTCACATTCTAAGGGTTTTCTGGAAAACTAATAGAGGGAAAACTTTGAAACTTTTTGCATGTGAAAAGGAGATAGGAGCTCATTTTCCCAAAATTTTAAATTTTTCCAGTGGAAAATAACAACATGAAAAATATTCAAAATTGACATTAATTGAAAATACAGTCTCTCACATTTTATTTTTTTCCTGAAAAACTATTGATGTGAGTGAATATGCTGAAACTTTTCAGGTAAAAAAAGGAAGTCATGGAGCTCATCATATCATTTATTTGTTAGTAAAATAGGGTTAAAAATATTCCCATTAAAGCCTAGTTTATTCATCATCAGAAAAACTTATAACAAACTCTATTGGTAGAACCAGTGCAGAAAAAATGTGTTTTCATCTCTTTTTTATATAAGCTGATAGAAAAAGACACGAATACATTCAGCCTACACTAACTTTTTCAAAAGAATTCACTATCAGTAATTGTCTACAAGATGAATTTAGCAATCTATTGATTTGATAATAGATTGCACTTTTATCTGTCAGATTGTATTAACTAACTGGCAGTTTATCAGCAGATGAATAAACCAGGCTTAAAAAATGTGTATAGAGAAAAGTCTATATAAGTTCATTTACTCAAACACCTTACCTGAGAAATTATCTCTTCTCAATTCGTACTCTCTAACTTTGAGCCCCCTTTCGAGGATCTCTTCAGCTTTGGCGCCTCTCACCGTACAATGGACAGCAATTTTCTCATTACGCCTGATACCAAAAGACCTCACAGTGTATCTGGCTTTAGAAAACACTGGTTGTTGACCGGTAAGCTGTTCCAATACCTACGAAAGTAATTTGTTGGTAAGACTAGAAAAATGAGCTGAAAGTTTGTTTGCTTACCTTGGCAGCTCTGGTAAGCCTGTCACCACTTTCTCCAACGCAAATGTTGAGGCATAATTTGCGGATGTGCAAGTCCCGCATGATATTTTTGGATTTGTCTTTGTTGACATCTTTTTTCTCCTTTTTTGCTGCTACTGGCTGCAAGACGATAATTTTGAGGTTAGAATTTTCACAAAAAAATTGTTAATAATTGAAAATCAAGCCTAAATTAGCAATAATTGATAATGAAACAAGTATAACTGGACACCATAACAATAACATTGAGATTTTCCAATAACCATCACACAAAGACCAAAAATATCACTGCGAAATTATGAATTAAGGTTTCCTTTACGATTTTCTAACAAATTTGAAAGGTTTTCTTTTAAATACACTTCGATGTTATTGGAAAATAAATTAGAAAAATTTTGGGACACTCACCGCCATGGCTGAAACTTTTTGAAGGAAATGTCAAATGTCAAAACGGGCAACGTTGTCGGATTTTGCAAGGCAAATGGCGACGTTTCAAGTCGGTAAAAAAGGAAACTGCGTTTATTTAAATTTTAGCGCAAATAAACTTTAATTTATTTATAACAATTTAATTGTTATTGCAACAATAATTATATAGTTATTGTTCATTAATATTTCAATAATTGATCCCCGTTGCCATAGAAAGTAAATTCAACAATTATCGATCAAACTATAGTTTTTTGATTATTTGTTAAAAATCAATCAAACTTTATTTATAAATATTATTATTGCAAAAAAATGATTAATAGCAGGAAAAGCCTTTGCGATACACATGAATTGGAGCCTCAGCTCACATCTACGGATCCAAACGAACGAAAAATGGCCAGAAGATTGAGAATTGAGAGACGATGGGAAGCTTTTCAAAAGAGGTAATAGTGTTATTTGCCTAACAAGTGCGGAAAGTAATACTTTACCACACGCAACAACAGACGATGGAGTAGTTTAAGGACGGTAAACGCAATTTCCGCATGTGTTAAGTGCAACATTTTATCTTGCGTTAAAGTAACTTTACTACACATGAAGTCTACTTTATGATAACACACTATACGATAAAGTGTGCTACTTCCACTTCAGTTCCAATCATTTATGCGTCATAAAGTAACTTTACCACACGCACTATATGAGGTCTACTCGAGGGTCTACTTTACAAGACACAGTATACGGTAAAGTGCTACTTTCTACTTGCAAAGAAGTGCAGTTACGCTCTATTTACATTACTTTCAATTTGATAGTAAAATAAGTTTGGAACAAGAAGAACTCAAGCACCTCGAGCCGGAAGAGTTCCACGAAATTCATATGCAGCTGAAACAAAGCGAAGAACTTCTGGAAAAGTTTCTAAACGAAGGTGAAGAGTACATTACAAATGTGCGAATAGCAAACGATTCCAGGGAGGTGGATAGAAGGGAAAACGAAGCGATTAATAGAATCAAAATCTTTGAGCAGTTGGACGAAGAAGCTCAGGCTGCAAATGAATTGTTTGGAAAGATTGCCAAAAAGTGGACAGTAAGAATAATATGGGGTTTATAATTTTCTCTAATAGTATCTAATAATCCAATTGGATGTTATGAGAACGTCAGTAGTAAAAGAATCCAAGAATGTGCATAGGACGTTTTTCTCTTATAAATATAGAAAGCTGAAATTTTCAGCGGTTTTTATTCTAGTAGAGGAATACAATCCCTGAAAATTTCAGCTCATTTTAGGCGGTTACACACGGGCGTGGATGTCTGAAAACATGTACGCACATACATGAACGTGCAAACAAAAACATCAATGTATATACAAAATATCGTCGCGTTTTTGAATGTGCAATTTTGTATGCACACTCGGAACACTGTAGCAAGAATAGCAAGACTGCAGTTTTGTACGAGCGTGTGTACAAAAGCGCCATGCACGTTCTTGGTTGCACGTTGATGTATGCACGTATATGTATTAAGACATCCACGTCCGTGTGTAACCGCCCTTTTTGACTTTTTGTTTGATATTGCTTGAAGATATACAAAAAACGGTTTCTTTTTATAGTCCATTCAACGTCACAACGATCCTCTACACATAAACGAAGCGATAATCGAACAAAAAGAAAAATGCGACATGCTCATCAACCAAAAAGACGCCATCATAGCGATGCTCAACGTCGAAATCAAAAATGCCGAAAAGCAATTCACCAAAGACCAAAAAAAACAAATCGAAGACGTCAACACTTTATCTAATAGAATTGAAAAACAAATTTCCTTCATGCGTAAAGCGTACGCAGACGAATTGGACGTCTTGGAAAAAGTCATTTTAACCGAAAGAGAGTTCCAAATGGAAGCCAGCGACAAAAAGTGGGACGAGCTTTTCCGAAAACGCCAAAACCAAGAAATCTCAAACACAAACGCAAAATTCGACCAGGTGGAACTATTCAACCAAAAAATGGACGCAGTAAGAATAGAGTTCCAAGAACACTACAGAGCAACTAAAATCAAACTTGAAAACGAGATTGAAGAACTAGAAAGGGAACTGGAAAAAATCAAAGCCTTAACCCTTTTGAACAGCGAAAAACTAGACTACAACTATCAAATATTGAAAAAACGCGAAGACGAAAACATTATAATAAAGTCCCAACAGAAAAGACGCATGAATAAATTGCAAGATGTTATAAACGCTTTGAGAGTTCAAATACATGACTACGAAACTACAATGTCCAACAAAATCCGTAAACTAAAAGAAAACATCAAGAAAATGCACAAATCTATTATGGATGTTGAAGCTAAAGCTGACCATTTCGCTCACGTAAATGATGATCAGTTTCACAGCCTTTGGGAGATGAATAAAAACAGAGTTTTAAAAGTTTTGAGGAAAATTCTAGAAACTGATCGATTACTTTACGAGCAACAAATGGGTTTAGACTGGGAATCACCAAACAACTATATGATTGACAAGACTACTTTGCCAAGTTATAAAAACGCTTTGAATCATGTGCCAGAGGAATATATTCGTGCAGATACAACTAAACCCTCAGCTAAACAACCACCCTCAAAATCGGCCGGAAGTAGTTCAGCAATGACTGGACAAGAAGAATCTTCGGAATCGGCCTTTGAGCCTATGGACGAATTCGCCATTGCCAATTACCGAAGAATAATCAAACATATTCTTATAAAGATTTCAGATAAGTCTGGATTTTTAACTGAGAAACGATTGAAGGAGCTTTTGAAAGACTATGTGGATGAGCACAGGCAACTGGTGCGGCTGGATAATGTTTTCCAGGTGAGAATTTGCCTAATTCATGGGTTTAAGTGATAATCCAAACTTTTAGGCTCTCGGTATACAAGGCAGCAACTACATCCATATTCTTTTCAAACATTTCCAACCTTACACTTATTGCTCCATTTGCCAAGGCTCTTTAACAATGACTGCGTCCAAAATGGGCAGCAGAATAGATTCTGTTGGATCACAAATATCTTCAATATTTTCAAGTAAAAACTTTGTTATTGTTGAACTAATTCCTCAACTAATAAACAACTTATTCATATAGAACATGGTGATGGTTCTCATTTAATGTTGCCAGAAGTGAACGAGCTTATAGAAGCTGTTTGTCAGCCCAATCACGTTGTAGCTGCGATTATTGCTGACTTGGTCACTGGAAAATCGCTTATTTCTGTCGGGGACGATTTGTCTCAATTGTCCGAACATGAGAGAATTGATGAAATTTGTGGAACTGCTGCTGAACCGGAACAATAGTAAGTATAACTATCTTCATTCGTAAATCAATCGCGTGTACGTTATTAGTGTCACCCTCAGGTGTCACCCTGTTTCTGATAACCTCCTATTAGTATGAATTTAATCCTATGGTGCTTTTTTTATATATTCACACCCCACCTATAGTCTTTAATTTTACAGGTAGAAGAAAGGTACTTAAATATCAAAGTTGTACAGCTGTATGCAACATCCTCTTTTAACTTAAAAGCGCTTTTAAAAACTGGTCACTTTCAAAAATGTGTATTCTAAACCAAACAAATTTTTAAAAAAAAACCCACACTGAAAAAATGTTTTCATTGTCATAGCATTTTTCTGCTGCCGTAGCCAAAAATATTGGCTACATAGGGGACAGCCAAGATCTTTACTACCGCCGAAAAGATAACTTTACTGGCACCGTTTATTTGCGATAGCAAAGTGACTTTATAAAGAATTTACTCTCAGTTTCTACAAGGTCACTTTGCTGGCATAGAAAAGCTACTTTGCTGTCGTAGGAAAGTAACTATGCTGTCCTAGAAAAGAGGTTATATACCCTCAAAAACATCCTTTTTTGCTATTGAAAAGTAGATTGCTAAGACAGAAAAGATATTTGTTGTTGTTATTAAAAATGCTTCCTAAAATAGGAAAGCGTTTGTCTCAGAACAAAAAATTTCTTGCCAGAATCAGCCAAGTGTTTTATTAGCCATGGGAAGTTATTTGTCTCACCAATAGCAAAAATATTTTGCTGGAAATCTTTGGAAATATGTAGTAGCGCGTCCATCATAACAAAACCAGGAGATAAACAAACTCTATTTAAACCCCTAAAATTTCATTACCTGATCTGAAATAATGTCAATTAATGAAAAGTTTGGCGCTAGAGTTGTTTCTGCTAGTTTTGATGGATGCGCTGGCACCATTTCCAAAAAGATTCCCAGCGACCGACACTCGACTTGACTCGACAGCATCCACGATCCACACCGTACGGCGTTAGCTACTAAACTAAAATGGAAGAAAATGAACACGAAACATATTTTATCGGTTATTTTTGGACCCGAAGAAATCACGGAAATGTCCGAACGGTATTTTTAGTTAAGTTATTTGGCTAGGGTAGCAAAAAACATTACTGTAACAAAAATTACAGGAATTTTTTTTTGCTGCAACAGTAAAGTATCTATTGTTCGTCGATTTTAATCTGATACTCGGACGGAATGTGAGCTGGTGGCTCTCTACATTAGAACGCCAATGGTTACCTAACGTCACACCTGTTTTTCCCATATGAAACACCCCCTCGCTCTTCATACCGCAAGTATCAGTTAAAAATCGACGAACAATATCTATCTTAGAAAAGTTCTATTTCGGAGAAGCAGAATTATTTTCATAAAATTTTAATTTTGCTATAACAGCAAAGTTTGGTTTTGGAATAAGAAATATCTTTGCAGTTTCAATAAAGTAGTTTCAGCAAAGTGGTCTTTTCTGTAGAAGTAAAATAGCATTGCTACCTCTAAAACATTTTCCACTGTAACAGCTAAAAAAAAACCAGCAAAGAATTTTCTCCTGGGACTTTTCTCAGTGCAGTTTTGAAAAGCGCTTTTAAGTTAAAAGAGGATGTTGCATACAGCTGTTACAGTTTTGGCTGAATTTTTAAAAACCATGGTCAGAAACAAAATTTGAATGTCAGAATGTGAAATTTCAAATGCTTCCAGCTTTTTCCAAATGGGATGCTCTATTGGTGCGTACGATAAGTCCGAACTAGTGACACTTTTTACCCTGACCCGTCATTAATGTCGCACTTTTTACACCATTCGTACCGTGCAGCTTTCCATTTTCCGGTGTAGTTGAGATGGTATCTATCTATCTATCTATATCTCATTTTATATTCTTGAAGAGCACAATGCCCCAATTCCAAAAATATATAGTTTGTTTATATTTTGATTGAACAGTCTCTAATATATTCGCCTCCAAAAATTGTAAAAATACTTAATTTTGTGAACCATTCTACCTGTATTGTTCGTCGATTTTAATCTGATACTCGGACGGAATGTAAGCTGGTGGCTCCCTACATTAGAACGCCAATGCTTACCTGACGTCACACCTGTTTTTGCCATATGAAACACCCCCTCGCACCTCATACCGCAAGTATCAGTTAAAAATCGACGAACAATACAGCTGCAAGTAAAATTTGAAGTCATCTATTCAATAATATATTGTTCAAGTATGATACTAACCTGACTCACTCAAATGTCAATTATTCTCATTAATTCAAAAACTACACGTTTCAGGTGAGTTTCTTGTATGAATAGTTCAACAGTATATTGATAAATAAATGGCTGCCGAACTCGCTGCGCTCGTCCCGCAGAGATCCACCCATAAGTTCCGCAATATTCCACTTATTTGTGCTTAAACAATAACTTTATTATATAAAGTCAAAATTTGTAAGATTATTCACTTTTTTTTCAATTTGCCTTTTAACAGGAATCAGTAATGTTACTTTACCAAACTATAGTAACATAAAATGTGACAAGTTATTCAAGTACAAACGAGTAGATTGTTGCGGAACTTATGGGTGCGGACCTCTGCGGGACGAGCGTAGCGAGTTCCGCAGCCATCTATTTACCAATATGTTGTTCAAGTGCAATACTAATTTGATTCTCTCAGTTGTGAGTTTTTCTCATTAGTTCAAAAACTACATTTAGATGAATGTGTTACTTGAACAATTCAACAGTATATTGGTGAGTAGATGGCTGCGGAACTCGCTGCGCTCGTCCCGCAGAGGTCCACCCATAAGTTCCGCAATAATCCACTTATTTGTACAGGGTGTTTTTTTTATATATTAACACCCCACCTACAGCCTTTGCCTTTACAGGTAGAAGAAAGGTGTAAACACAAAAGTTGTACAGTTTTGGTTGAATTTTTAGAAACCCAATGGTCAGAAACAAAATTTAAATGTCAGAAATGTGAAATTTCGCATGCTTCTATGCATCACCCTGTTTCTGACAATCCCCTCAACCTTTCCAGTTAGCCATGAATCTGATCCCCTGAAGGTACAGTTTTTGAATAATTGTCATCTGATTATTCAATTTTGTAAATTTTCGTAGGTATAAATCTTCAACTTATTAATAAATGAAGGATAAAAATCAACTTTCGTTTTCTTCAACAGTAGTTCACCAAAAGAAGGCTCATCAGTGAAACCATCAGCAGCTCTCAAAACATCACCATCAGCAACCGCCAAAGACCCAGACTTATGGACCTGTCCCTTCCGTCATCCCTTAATAATTAGCCCCGTTTACGTATTGCAAGCCCTAAGGGAATTCGTTGCTTCTTATTACGTACAAAAAGTCGGCCTTCCAACCACAAAAGCAAGACTGGAACGGCAAAGAATGACAATATCCAGATACATTTCCGAAAAAGATATGAAACTTTATTGGGAAAAATTCAAATTGAATTTTGGCATCGACCGGGTCCAGGTTTGGGAAGCTTTATTAACTGGACTAAAAAAATATCATGAGATTTTAAAAGGTAATACTTTAGAATAATATAATCACTTTTAAGGCCCGGTTCATAAACTGCCAGGTATGTAATCTGACCATTTATCCATTGACCAATAGGATTATAGATTGATAACTTTATCTAGGTATATATAAACCGGGCCTGAATTATTTTCCAGATAGGAAATTAATCAGCAATGAAGTTCTGGAGCTGCGCAATGAAAATGCTGACCTCAAAAGGCTGTTGGCGAATTATCTGGATCATCATGATGTCATGCCTCCTCCTTGTGCCAAGCAACAAAACAAATTTGGCAAATAATTTATTTATTTTTTCTATATGCCTAAAACATCTTTGGTTCAGCTAATATACATCATGATTTACGTAGCCCGTGCATTATAAGTTGTCCAGTCTGCAGGTGGATCTAATCCATGCTTAGATTACGTGAATCACCATGTATATAAATAACAACATTTAAATATTGACCTAATATAGGTTCTCTTAAAAAACATCAATATATAAATACTTAAATTACATCTTTTTTTTTTAAAGCAACACTGTGTATAAATATTTATTTATTTAGAAATAGTTTTTATTTTTAAGCCTCTTTATGAATACTGGTTCCACGTCCTCGTCCTCCTGAAAAATAAATCAAATTAATTGTTTTGTTATTATACAGGGTGTTACAAATTTGTAGGTAAGTATATGGAAAGCATAAAAAGATACAGGGTTGGTCGAAACTAAGGCAAAGTTATGTAATTTTTTGCCTATAATAATATATGGGGCTAAATCTTTCATCTGGTAGAAATAGAATAGTGTGCCTCATTCGTGCAGGAAAATGGCATTTGTCACACTAGGTAAAGTGCGACAACTGAGTGAACCTTGGTAACGTATGAAGTAGCAGAGGGGAAGACGAAAATCTATACTATACGACGCGACGGGTCCTCGAAGTGGTGCATTGCGAAAATTGCGGTTACCCTGATGAGACGACCCGCGTATATGTATATTTAATCTCGCGCCAATCAGGAGCGTTTTGCCCGCATTCCTTCCACACAGGTTCACTCACTTGTCGCACTTTATAGGAAATATAATACTATATAAAATCATGTAAAAGATTTATTTATATTATATTTATTTGCCTGTTCTTCGCAAGTCTCGGTAGGCCTTGTAAAAGATCAACTGTTTCCGTCTCGTTTTAATTCCACGAAAAAAAAAGAGACGGCGATCGTTGCTGTTGACGTGGCCGGGCGGCCATTTTTGTTGTTCAGTCGGTTCGGTCACGTAGAGGCATGCGCATCGTCGCTCTATTTTTCTGAAAATTTCGTAGTTTTTCGGGTAATTTTCGTGCGGAAAAGTGTCTCGAAGTGTTTCTCGTAACCTGGCACGTTCGCGTCGCATAAACTCGGAAAAATAACGTTTTTTTTGGATATTTTTGTGATGGTTCAAAATGGCGGCGGTCACAGCAGTAAACTTCAAGGTAAGCAATTTACGCCACTATTGCCCATTGAAATTGATCTTTTTTGACATCAAAATAAGTAATTATTTTTATTAAAATAAAAATAAAAAAGTTAAAATTTATTCATGGGGCTTTTTTTATGAGCAAACGTCAAACGCCATCCATAAAAAAGAAGAACTTTTCCATCTAAGTATAAGTAGGCTTTGGAATATAATACACAACCAAAATATTATATCTTTCTCGTTTTAAATACGTAAGATAAAAAGAGACAGACATGATTACTAATGCCGGCCATTTTGGTTGAGACAAATCAAATGTAATAATTTTTTTATATTCCACTCAGTATTGATCAAAAGCCTCAAGGTACCTACGTAAGCACGTTTTTGTCGCAAATAGCGGACTCGAAATTATCCAAAATATCCATTCAGAACGTTTGTCTTTTATTATACGTCTTCAAGAGTTCAAGACGTCTAAGAGCTATCTTAAAGACGTCTTTATTTTGCAACCTTGGTCCCATATTCATCCTCAATAAACAGATCGGGGCTTAGATTTCGATTTATTTTCCAGAGTCTCGATATCCTTATTGTAAACCTACCTCAAATGTGCATAATGACATTATGCATTCAAGTTAAATTTTATCTTATTGTGATTTGGAAAAAAATCTCAATTCTTACTCGCGAATTTGTAACACCCTGTAGAAAGTACAAATTACTTACAGCAAAATAAGATGGTGCGTCAATTTCAACAGTATTTTGGGTACCACCTTCTTTGCAAGCCAACCAGAAGGTTTCCATTAGTCCTTTGCCCTTAAAAATTGCAATTAAAAACAACCTAGACTTACTTTTTTGGTACACTTACCTTTACTTCTACCAAACCTCTTTCTTCAATTTTGTAGCCTCCAATTGCATCCAGAGCCTTCTTCATTTCCAAGCTGATGTGAATTTTTGAAGCTTAAAATTATATTTTGTTATTAGAAAATTGATTATAAGAACTCTGTTCCAAAACGGTAATTTCCAGCCGTGTCAAGTAGGATAAAGGTTCAACGTATTAGGCAATTCAAACCACGTGACATTCAAGATGTCGTGGCGGCCACACATGGGCCAAAAAACACAAAAAAATATCTAGTTTCTGCCCGAATTAATAGTTTAGGTACCTAGTCAACAAATATTTTATTAAATATAATGAAAATCAAAGTTGTAAGCAAAACTGTATGCAAAATAATTTAAAATACGCATAAAAACATTTTCAAAACAAACTTGCTTGGCCGCCACGCCACATTGAATTTTCATTTTTGACAGATGGATTGAATTGCCTAATTGAAAAATAAGTTGGCAGCTGGAAATTACTGGTTCTGGAACGGTTCTCATGTCGGTTGGAACAGAGCTAAAAATTAAAAATTGATTCATTATACCTACCTACACCTGTAGATTCCATTCTTGAAGCTGTATTGACGGTGTCACCGAATAGGCAGTACCTGGGCATTTTGGATCCTACTATGCCTGCTACAACTGGGCCTGTATGAGCACCCGATCTAGGATTTGTAGAGAATTTAATTGTCTTTGATTCAAGCCTAATTACGTTGAGATCGAATTAAAATTACCAAAGTTATGAGGCAAAATGTGTATCAATGTCATTTTTAGAATAATTAAATTTTCAAGAAATTACTTTGAGGCACGAGGGGCGTTCCACCGTACTGTCAGTGCAATGCCTGGTATATATACTGCACGCTACCTGTCAGTGTAAGCTCTACTATTTTAAAGTACTGTGAGGTGCTGTCAGTATAAGGTTTGGTACTGTAAGGTATTTGCGTAGAACTGCATGTAATATCATGGTATTGTCAATATTGTTAAGACATTGTCTTGGACTGTGAAAGATTTTTAGTACTATCATGTGATATATTTTGGTATAAGCTGCATTTTTATTAATTGAATGTTTCTATGTTTGATGTCCATACAGGATGAATCAAATCTGAAAGTGAGTTTTTTTGAAGAGTTTTGGGTTTTCACTTAAAAAACAACTACGTTCAACCCTCGATTCAGGCTTAATGATTTACTCATGGGTTACTGGCTCTCTTGATCCTTGTACTTTTTATCAATATCGAGTTTTGTGTATCTGGCCAATTGAAATGATCTGTTTCCAATTTACCCTTAACGGTGTATATTGGTACTGCCTATAACTTCCAGTACCTACCATTTGTGCCCGAGACTAGGGTGGAAATCCATTTTTTCACAGGGACCCTTTTTTCGATGAATCGCACTTATTAGTTTTACCCCCTGTAACCACTCTAGGGTGGAAATGTCCATAAGCTGCATTGAAATCACAGCTTTGTAGAGAATTTAATTGGCTTTAATTGGAGCCTAATTACGTTAAAATCGGATTGAAATTAACTAAGTTGTGAGGCAAAATGTACGTTGATGTCATTGAAATTTCTAAAAAACATCATTGAGAGATGTTTTATTCGTTTTTAAGAAAAATATTTGAGAGATCGGATTGAAATTTCACAAGTGGCTAAAAAAAAAAATGAAATTTGAGAAAAAAAAATGTCTACTGCGTCACCTTGATAAAAATCAAACTCCTGACTATTGAAATTTTAATCTTTTCGTGGATGAAAATTTGTAAAATTACCATTATGCTCAATAAGCAAACACGAAAAAGTTGAAAAGTGAAAGGAGTACTGAAACAATTAGAGATTTTGATCAGAATAACATAGAAAATCCGAGATGCGGCTCACTAACCACAATTTGTACATCGATTTCAGAAATCGCAGGGGATTTCGAAAATTTTTAAGGGATTTCGAAAGATTCAACGTCGTATCACTAAGGATTTCGATAAATATATTGGGATTTAGTATTTCAAAAGGATTTCGGTTGGGATTTCCTAAGGATTTCGCGATTTCGAATGGATTTCCAAAAGGATTTCGAAAAAAGTTTCAAGGGATTTCGGATGAAAATGTACAGCGATTTTGGGAATGAGCCGCCCCTTGAGAAAATCAGAATTTAATAAAAAAAACAGTAATAGCTATGTTCAGAGATTGATTATTCCTGGCTCTTGATTCAAATCAAGAGCCGAGAATAATCAAAAACTGAACATTGGAAAAGTTCAACTTGAACATCGAAAAAGAATCTCATTATGTCGCCTATCAACTAAATTTTTTCTTCAGAAAGAAATCTTCAAGCTTATTTATTTCTCAATGAATAAACCAAAGATTGATTAATTGAATGATTATTCCCGGCTCTTGATCCAAATAAGTAAGCACCGCCGGAAAGGAATTTGGTTGAAATTAATTTTCATGAGGAATTTGAGTGTGAAAATGTAGCTGCAGCAGAAATCGGAAAATTCATTTATTGAAGTTTAATATTTAAAAAAAGTTCAGCTACTGAGGTCCTCATCTGATCCTGATTTTCTTAACATCTTCTTTTATGATGTAAATACAAGAGTCTTTCAAGTCAAATTAATCTTTATAAACGAAACAAAATTACCTTATTTGTAGCTTTTCCGATTTCCTATGAGGAATTTTGAAATGTTTCGAGCCGGCCAAAAGGTCCAAAGCCATACTGGCTATTTCAGACACATGCTTATTACCTAAAAAAAAATATTTTACATTCAATCAGAAATAGTTTTCACTAGGTAGGTACTTACCATTTTTGACTGGAAGTCCTGACGCTACCATATAAGAATCCCCAATAGTTTCCACTTTATAAACGTCGTAGCACTCGATTCTTGCATCAAATTGTTTGTAGATTTTGTTTAGAAATGTTACCACCTAAAAAAAATGTTTATTCAATAAACTGTTAAACAAACTTTTGTAAATTGCCTCTAATGGCGTACTAATTGCTGCAATTTCCGTGAATCCTACAATGTCGCTAAAGTAAACTGTAACTGAAGCATAATATTCAGCAGGGACCTAGAAATTTCATAAATGTATTTAATTTTGATTTAAAAAAACAATTAAGTACTTGTCGTGTTTGTTTAAGTTGTGTGGCAACACTAGGAGGTAGCATTTGAAACAAAAGTAAGTCACTCTTTTTCTTTTCTCGTTTCAATTCGTTGGCCTTTTTAGATAAGTTTGCTGCATAAAGCTAGAAAACAATTTTGTATTTTTAGTAAAATTCTACATTAATTACTTACTTGTATTGTAGCAACAGCATTATGCACTAGCCAAATGATAACAGGCGATACTGCCAGCACTACAACTAAAATTGTAATTCCTAATGCTTCTTGATTAGCTGCATCTTGTAAATTTTCACTCACATATTCTCTAAAATTAAATGTTACTTAAAAATTATAATAAGGCATTATTTTTCACCCAATAGTCACTCTCAAAGATCTTTGAAGTTTCCTTAATTCATCAGTGTAAAGGGCAATTGAAACAAAATAATTTAATGCCTCAGGATAATTGGGGGCCCTTTTTTCGTTTTTAATAATAACGTCATTCCTATAAAAAAAAAAACAATTTTTTATTGATTAGATTATAGAAATCAATCAAATTACTTTTGTTTAATGTTTCCATAATTATCCATAGTTAACGACAAGTTTCTATATTCTTGCTTCAATTTGGCAACATAGTTTAATGAGGTGTTGAGTAGGTCTTTGGCAATGGAATCGTGTTGGATGTAACTTATGTGGTTCTTTTTTTCTAGACTTCCTTTGCCAAAGTAATTGACACCGTAGACGCTGGCTATTCCAGTACTTTCAATGCTTTTCAAGAGATTTTTGAAAGCTAGAAGATACCTGAAAACGGAGTTTGTATTGGCATTCAAAATCATGAAAAAGATCTCATGATTTTCCTATTCCAGAGGCTCTTGAATTTGTGTTTATTTTTATAAAAGAATAAAAAACATTCAAGAGCCTGGAATAGGAACAAAATTGATTCAGAAGGCATAAAAAATAATCGCCTGGAACCCAAGGGATAATAATTTGCCTGAAAAGATTTTTTTCCATTTTCCAAAAGTTCAGGTACTTGCAATCCATAAACAAACAATAAAGAATGTTTAGGACACAAATATCTTTGATGCCTTAAAGATAGAAACCAGACAAAACTCCATAAAGTTTATCCACCAACTCACCTCCACACCCCACTAGTATCAGTCTCCTTAATCTGCTGAGTCAAATGTTCCAGCATGGCAGCATTAACCGAAGTATACCAAGTCAGCACATCTGTTATAGTAGTCTCTTCCGATTCTTCAACAGTTTTCCTAAACTTGGTAAGATTACTGATAAAGGTGGCTTTGTCCAAGTACACAGTACGACTACCATCTAATTGCAAAGCTAGCGGGGGCCAAAAACTCATATTTCCCAAAGCCTCGTTGGTCAAATTGAATCTCGCTTTTAGATCTGTACGATTGTCTGTCCTAAATTAATCTATTTTTATTACTCATCTGTTGAGGGTCATCCCTTAATTGAAACTCAATAAGAAATTAATTACTTGCCTGAATTCTTTATTTCCACCAGTGTATAAATAGAAAGCTACTTCTGATCGTTCCAGTTGCATTCTGGTTACTACTTTACCTAATTCTGTAGCTGCTGTAACCTGGAAAAATCCATTACTTTATTAGGCTATAAAGAGACCTTAATGCAACCTAATGTGATGAAATTAACGATCTAATAAAAAGTTGTTGGATAATTGATTTGTGTAATAATGGGGAAAACACATTTTGAGCAACCCTATCGTAACGGCCTTTACTCTATTGACAAAAGGTGTGTATAGTTTCTTTTTTTTTTCCGACCTCAAACAGTCATTTATTACGTTAATTACTCATGACAAATTAAAATATATGAGACACACAACAATTATCGGGTTTTCCTTTTAAATATATTATTGGTTGGACTAATTAAACTTAGACGGTTTTACACCATTTATCCTGATTATTTCCAAAACGATCTTGCATGGAAAATGAGGTTTTGATGGTGACTGGCATACGTAATGGGAGATCTTTTGACCTAATTTAACTTACAGGGCAATAGTTAATAAACAAAGTTATCATAGTGATGATTCAATTTTTATCTACATTTTTAATTGAAGTAACAGTTGTGTTGTTCAGTTAGAAATTCCAAAATAGAGTTTATTTCTTAAAATCGTGAAGATAAGGAAAACTTCGAAGATTAATGACTCAATAAATAATAGACTTTAAAGATCTTATGACTGGAAATTGAAAACTTTGATGTCTGGAAACTGGAAACTCTGATGACTGAAAAACTGTGAACAGACAAAACAAGATTCTTCAAAAGAAAAAATGATTAAAAACTTCATCCTAAAGACTATAGAATATAAAATCAATAATTAAAAATCATATTCCAGATTCAAATTTTAATTATTCTCGGCTCTTGAATTGAATCAAGTGCCTGGAATAATAATCAGTAAATCAGGTAGGTACCTACCTACTTAACTCTCCAATATACCTACTTACTTATTCTTCTAGAATATCAAGTACCAGTGTTGTCAGGTTATATTCTGTTTTGTTAGTAGATTAGCATATTCTGTTTTGTCAGTAGATATGCACTACCTATGGGATGCTTTATACTGGGTTCTATATTCTTGAAGAGTATAATTTCCCGATTCCAAAACTATATAGTTTGTCTATATTTGGTTGAGCCGGCTCCAACATATTTGGTTCTGGAAATTTTAAAAATAATATCAGAGAAACCAAGTACCTATCTCAAATTTGACCTGCAGCTTTCATCTGTACATCAGGTAGAATGGTTCACAAAATCAGTAGTAAGATAGAATTTTTACAATTTTTGGAGCCGAATATATGAGAGACTGTTCAATTAAATATAGACAAACTATATATTTTTGGAATCGGAGCATTGTGCTCTTCAAGAATATAGAATGAAATATAGGGCATCCTATTTGAAAAAAGCTGGAAGCATGCAAAATTTCACATTTCTGACATTCAAATTTTGTTTTTGACTATGGTTTCTAAAAACTCAGCCAAAACTGTACAACTTTTGTATTTACACTTTTTTTCCACCTCTAAAGATAAAGAAGGTAGGTGAAATGTCAATATATAAAAAAACACCCTGTACAAATAAGTGGATTATTGCGGAACTTATGGGTGGACCTCTGCGGGACGAGCGCAGCGAGTTCCGCAGCCATCTACTCACCAATATACTGTTGAACTGTTCAAAAAAAACACTCACTTGAAACATGTAGTTTTTGAACTAATGAGAAAAATTCATAACTTAGTGAATCAAGTTAATATTGTACTTGAACAACATATTGGTGAATAGATGGCTGGGTCCACCCATAAGTTCCGCAACAATTCACTCGTTTATACTTGAATAACTTGTCATATGTATATACAGGGTGTATCAGGTATGAGTACAAATATTTTAACATGAGATAATATGGCCCATTTCAAGCTAAAACTGTCCTATTAACCATGGGTCAATTGTTAGTAGTATTTTCGGAGTTATCGCAGAATTTAAATTAAGAAAAATGTTAACAATGTGACAACATTGTACAGGTATTTATCTCTGCCAGGATATAAATGTAAATAAAACTGGTGAATTTGAAAGGTTTTTTTTTTTGCACGGAGTTTCTTTATTTCCATCTGTTCACGTTTTGGTTTGTTATTGGCTTTCAAATTATGTAAATAATAATTTGCATTTTTATCACTTTTCTAGTAAAAATTAATTATGTGCCGTTTTATTAAGTTGTGAATTGCACTCAATGACATTTTTGCACTAAACATTCAAGAGAAAAAATTGGAAAAACCAAATAAGATTTTACTCAGCTACTTGTCAAATCCTTATTATGAAAATATTAATGTTTGTTAAAAGGTTCTCAAAACACTAAAATCAACACGCAGATTTTGCACACTGACAACTCACAATTCCTGTCACGCAATCTTTCTGAAACGGGCACAATGTTCTTTCATCAGGTGGGTGCTTTTGTGCTTTTCTTTTGGGAAATCTTTCCCTAGTTTCTCTGTAACTTCTGGCGGCTAAATGAGCATTTTGCAACGATTCTGCCTAAACAAGTATTTGCATATTCGATGTTTCTGAACATTTTATTTTCAAAAAAGAATAAATTTGAATTACGCGCGTTTCCCAACTAGACAAGGCAAAATCAAGAATCAATTTATTGAGCTCCACCACAAGGTTCAACCTTCAACTACTTATATTCTTTATTGTACTATATTGCCAGATGTTTAGATACCTATTTACAAGTGAAATTTTTACGTTGTTTTTTCAATTTTTTGTTATTGTTGTTAACTAAAAATGCATAATTACTTGATAATTGAATAAACTAAATTTTTTTACATCTCATAATGATTAAAATTTTCTTTATCTTTAAAATATTCGTCAAAAAATGTCAAAACTTCAAAGGCGTTTTTCTTAAAAATGGTCGAGTTTGGACCCCATGTTGTATAAACTTTTTTTGTTCAAAATGGGCCATATTTTCACGTGTTAAAATTTTTATAGTCAAACCTGTATATTACTAATTTGGTAAAGTAACATTACTAATTCCTGTTGAAATGCGAATTGACAAAAAGTGAATAATCATAATCTTAAAAATTCTGAGTTTATATAAGAAGTTATTGTTCAAGTACAAATAAGTGGATTATTGCGGAACTTATGGGTGGATCTCTGCGGGACGAGCGTAGCGAGTTCCGCAGCCATCTTCTCACCAATATATTGCTGAACTGTTCAAGTAGGTAAGACATTCACCTGAACCATGTAGTTTATAAACTAATGAGAATAACTTACATTTGAGTGAGTTACAGTAATTAAACAACATATTGATGAATAGATGGCTGCGGAACTCGCTGCGCTCGTCCCGCAGAGGTCCACCCATAAGTTTCACAGCAATCCACTCGTTTGTACTTGAATAACTTGTCACAATATATTACTAGTTTGGTAAAGTAGCATTAATTTGAAAAATATCATAAAAAGCAGGTAAATAATGACAACGGCTTTTATCAGTAGAATTTACGTTGATATCAGTATATCAGTAGACCAGTGGCTAAATCAGTAGATCTGGCAACACTGTCAAGTACTCAAGTACTACCATAAATAAAAGAATAGTTTTAGTTCACCTGATTCTCGATTTCAATGCTGTCGTGCTTCAAAATCATAATGTTCCTGAGCATCAAAGATGTTTGCACAATCAAAGCTAGAATCGGTATAAAAGGTAGTACCAGCATTTGCAAAAGGTGCAGTTTCCTGCCTCTTCCGTCCGCTGGATTAATGGATTTTGCACAGCAATAACCTCTCGGTACTACTTGAGACACATCTTCTGAGCTTAATGATCGTATTGAAGTGTCGTCAACGTCCGATACGTGATTTGTGATGGCTTTTTGTTGGATCATGATTGTTGATTTTCTGGAAAAATGAACACATAAGTACATAAGATTTAAATCATGAGATATTCTTCAATAAGTAACATCTAAACTGGATTGAGTTGGAAATCAAGCAAAGATTTAATTGCAATTTTCTGTTGGATTTATTGTCTCTATGTAAATGAACGAAAAATTATTCTCGATCATGGAGGGAAATTCGAATCCAATTATGCGTGGTGACACATTTTAAATTGAGGTGTTAATGAAAAAATCCCTATCTTCATTTATATCCGGACACGGCGTCTCGTTTTTCGCCGCTAGATTGAATTTCCAGTGTGCGGAAAAAAAATCTATTATAATTTGAAAAACGGAGACGGATTTTTTTTTGTTTGTTTGCCTGTGTATGTGTTACCGAATATTAGGTATTTATTATTTACATATTTCAATAAGAAAATTGGATTTTCTTTGTCTATAGTAGGTATTTTTGAATAATGCATTGTTTGTTACGTGTGTTTAAAATGCACCTCTCGTTTTTCGAAAAAGGAAATTGCATGCAAAGAAAATTGTTGTTTGTCCAATACATTCCAAATAGTTCTCAATACATATAAATAAAAAACCAAAAACCTTATTGAAATATCCAGCTTAGAAATGATTACTTTCCTTGAACTACAAGAATAATCTTACAAAGCCGACATCTCATATAAGTATTACTTTTTAATATGAAGAATAAACTCCCTTTTTACTTCAAACTTCATGTCTCTCACATGTATTTCCTGATGGAACAATTATTATTGACATTATTTTTTCAATTAATCTTAGGAGAAATAATTTTCAGAAGATATGTTTGCCATTTGATCATAGATTTTCCGAGATTGAAGCATCGAATAGAAAAACACACAATTCAGGAGAAACATCATAGCTCAGCTTCTGAGCCGAATATCAGTTACAAGTTTATAAATATTTCATTGAGAATTACTCAGCAAATTCTAAAATTTTCAACTGATGTAGAAGGAAAATCATAACTCAGCTTCTGAGTCAATAATAGTAACTGAAAGGTATAATTGAATGGCCACCTTGATCTCCAGACTTTACGCCATGGAAAATAACTTGGGATATATGAAGTTGCACAACGATTTAATTTTCTCCAAATGAAAATCATTTTTTTCACATCAAAATAAAATCTCATTAAGGTTTTGATTGTTCGTGCTTAATACGTCAATCGCTGGCTATATTTTTATTAAATTATGACGTGATGAAAATGGATTTTTGTGAATTTCATTTTTGGTTAATAAATTTTATAATAACAACAAAACTTTGTTGATCAAATCCAGATAGAAATATTACCTGATTCAAATGTATTATTTGGGAATAATTAATTATTGGTTTATAATCAATCAATCTGGAAACAATTTAAATTAAAAGAAAACAATTTTGTTAATTTATGTTCAATACTTACTCACCCCCAGCAGAATTAAAAGTTCTACTTTTCGATTTATTGTGTCGTCACCATAAAGATCAAACCTACCGACTCAAACGCAAAACGAAAAATAAAAGCAACCGCCAAGATTTATCGGAGTCAATTTCCTTTCGGCAACAAGTTGATTAAAATATATAAAACGAGAACTCGCGAATCAACCCCCTGGAGAGGCACCCTCTTAGGACGGAGTTTCAATTGATACTGGGGAAACAACGTGTTTTCGGTCGCCAGTTTCAGCTGCGAAGTTGCGCCCCTTTGGGGGATGATACATGTCGGATTCCAGCAGCTTATTTATTATTTTGTTTGTTTATTCCAGGAATTGGATAATAATTATTGGAGTATATGTGATGAGAAAATGTAAGAGTTGGTATGGCACTGGAAATGTATTCCATATGCATATAGAAACTTCTTCCTAAATACCTAGTTCTCCAATTTCCAGATTTTGTCAAACATTTCTTATTTAGTTTACACTGTCTTGACTTCTTAACTGATAGGGTGAATTCCTCCCTATAACTTACAAATCTTGCATGGAAGTTTCCCATAAACTTCTTTTATATTATCGGCCAAAAAACGAAACTTCAAATCAATGATTAAATTATTTTTAACAATTTCTGCACATATGTGGATTTTGGTGTAGGTATAAAACGACTTTCTTCAATTTAGACTTGACCATGCTTTAAATATCTCTACCTACTCCATCAAAAAGGCAATAATTATTTGTCTAATTTAGGTTCTTGACCTTGGTACCTGGACCCTTATATTTACCGTTTATTTTCATTTCAACCATATTTTATTAACAAGAATAATGAACCCAAATTTCGGTGAGGCAAATATTGAAAATTAAATTTCTTTCTTCCCAGACAGAGCACAGATGCATTTTGAAGATGTACACAAACGACATTCGAGACTTAAAGCTCCAAAGTGTTCTAAATTGGTTCTTAAGAGTTCTAAAAGGTTTCCAGTTCGAATTAATCAAATCCTAAATTGTTCTAAAATAATTCTGAAGATTCTCAATTGTTCTAAAATGCTCGTGAAAATTCTGATTTGGATTTTTGAAGCTTTTCTGTTGCAGTTCTCCAATGAAACATTTTCAAATTTTTATATGATAAAGACCTACCAATTAGCGGCATATATATGTAGACTACATTCCAAAAGACTGGTAAACGCCGTAAATCATTCAGACCAATTATTAGCCTAACCTCATTTCTCCAATGGAGAAAATCATTGATCTACATATCAGGAGTGAATTCCTAATCGAAAGCCCGCTTCATTGTCATTTGTTCTCAAAAAAAATCTTCAGAAATTTAGGTTCTAGTAGGATTCAAAATTTGGAACTATTCCAGGATCTTGAATCGCTGTTTGATTTTTTAAAATAAGGCATCCAAGAGCCGGGAATGTTTCAAATTTTGAATCATTATCAGTGTCCGATACATTGAAAACTTTGAGCCTTCGGACCATATGGTTCCAGAAAAAATCTGCAGCAATTAAGGATCCAGTAGTGATTCAAAATTTGGACTATTCCAGGCTCTTGAATTGCTGTTCGATTTTTCCAAATAAGGCATAAGGCATCCAAGAGCCGGGAATATTCAAAATTTTTAATCATTAGGTACCAATGTTTCATGCATTGAACAATTTGAGCTTTACGACCATATGGCGATTTGCTCCAGAAAAAATTTCCAGCAATTTAAGATCCAGTAGTGATTCAAAATTTGGACTAACTGGACTAAGTATTCCAGGATCTTGAATCGCTGTTCGATTTTTCTAAATAAGGCATCCAAGAGCCGGGAATAGTCCAAATTTTGAATCATTATCATCCATTACCAACCATCACAATCTTCAATCTAATGATGAGCTCCTAACTCACTTTTTTTATCCTCAACTCAAAAGTTTCCCCCCTTGCTGGTTTTTCAGTGAAAACTTTAAAATGTGGAAAAGTGCACAAACAGTAAAGCAAAATAGACAGAACAGATACATAGAAAGAACAGAACAGACACAGAAAGAACAGGCAAAACAAAACAGACAGAACAGACACATTGGAACAGAGAAAACAGGCCAGATAAAACAGACACAGAATAGTATTTGAAATTGAGTTTTTGAAGAAACATTTTTAAAAAATTCTCATGTTGCCATTTTTAACTGGAACATTCTCAAATTCTAATATAATGAGTATTCTGGAAAACATTAAAATGTGAGGGGATGTGTTTGATTCCTGAACTATCCAGCATTTATAGTTACTCTCTAAAAATAAATAAAATTTCTCTTGAAACTGAAGCTGATTAGGAAAGTCTTCGTAGGAATTTACCATTTTTGAATAATTCAAAATATTTTTCACTTCTGTAATTGAAATGTATTTGATAATTTAGAATCAGGACTCTCTGTGAAAATTTCCGAATCATGATTCAGGGAGAAAAGTTAATTTTAATAAGTAATAAATAGGAAATTCTGTATATTATATCTACCAATTAATTTACATACATATACTTAATTCGTTTCAATGTCATTATTCTATGTTAATTTCCAATTCAAATGCCACAAAATATAATATTCAAATTTATTTTGATCCATACCTCTAATGATGAATTTTCTCATCAATTTTGTTTGTCGGGAAAATTGAATTTAGGAGTTTGCATACCTCAAACTCGGGCCATAGAAACGGTTAATCCAATTTTCAAATATTAAATTTCAATACTTACAATTTTGGGATTTAATTACTAGTCTTCGGAACTCCTTTGGCATTTTGAAAAGTTGACATTTTTTGGTTGGAGTTTTTTTGTAGATATCATGATGCTTGGTTTGATTCAAATGTTGTTAGAAAAAGAATTGAAAAATCTGGAATTATTTGAAGTTTTTTATTCAAATTTTTTTCTTTTCTAGACTTTCTTCTTGTCGTTTTTTCCCCTGGTCAGATTTTTCCATCAAGGCATTTAGGGAAAAATAATTTTGTATGCGAAAACCCCATAAGCAACATTTTTTGGTGATAGAAAAAGTGGTAAGAGGGTGCGTTTTTGCTTAATTTCCTATATTAAATTGTTATTTTTCATTGGAAAAGTTTGAAATTTTAGTATGTTGAGCTCCTAACTTTCTTCTTTTTCTCCTGAAAGTTTCATTATTTTCTTTTTAGCTGTTTTTTAGAGAAAAATTAAAATGTAAGAGGGTCATTTTTGCCTAATTTAGATTTTGCAAGTTGATTTTCATTAATTTCTCATATTGTTATTTTTCACTGGAAAAATTTGAAATTTTAGTATGATGAGCTCCTAATTTTCCTCTTTTTCTCCTGAAAATATCATAATTTTTCCTCCACTAGTTTACTAGAAAAAATTTCAAATGTAAGAAAAGGCATTTTTGCCTAATTTAAATTTTGCAAGTAGATTTTCATTAATTTCCCATTTTGTTATTTTTATAAATTAGAAAACCAACTTTAAAAAATGCTTCAGGAAACTTGAGGTCAAGATAAAAGAAGGAAAAAAAATCAAAATTTTGCACTTTATCATTGATAAAATTCATAGTTTCATTATCGTGAAAGATTGGAGAATGATTCTTAGCTTAACATCTAGGAACCAATGTATTCAAAAAGTCAAAATATTTCATTTTCCAGAGTCAGTGTGATTCTATTACTGTCTTTTGGCTCTGTTTTGAAACCGCAAAAGTTGAAATTGAATATGAGAAACGTAGAGGAAAATACCATTTAAAAATCGATTTTTGAGCATTTCTCATGTTGTAGTTTTACCCAGAGACAATGATGAACTTCTAACTTTTCTCTTTTCACCTCAAAAGTTTCAGAATTTCCTTCTCACTCTGGGGCTTCCAGAAGAATATTAAAATGTAACAAGTTATAGGTAGTTTTTTTTAATTCGTTTTTATAATAGGTCGATTTTTGGGAATTAGAGTTGTTGTAGTTTTCAACAATTCGAGATTCAGTTCTGATTCAAAATTTGGACTATTTTAGGTTCTTGAATCCGCTATTTAATTTTTTCTAAAGGCAACCAAGAGCCGGGAATATTCCAAATTTTGAATCATTACCAGTTTCTGATGCATTGGCAATTTGAGCTTTAGGACCATGGCCATTTATTCCAGCTATTCAAGATCCAGTAATGATCCAAAATTTGGACTATTCCAGGCTATTGAATCGCTGTTCAATTTTTCTAAAGGTAACCAAGAGCCAGGAATGTTCCAAATTTTGAATCATTTCCATCCATTATCAACTATGACAATCTACAATAATATAATGATGAACTCCTAATTAACTCACCTTTCATTACCTCAACTCAAAAGTTTCACAATTGCTGGTTTTTCAGTAGAAACTTTAAAATATGGAAAAGTGCATAAACAGCAAAGCAAAATAGACAGGACACAGAAAGAACAGACAAAACAGAACAGACCAGACAGAACAGACAAAACAGACCAGATAAAACAGACACAGAAGAGTATTTGAAATTGAGTTTTTGAAGAAAGATTTTTAAAAATTTCTCATGTTACAATTTTTAGCTGAAACATTCTCAAATTCTTATATAATGAACTATCAAGTTTTTTGTTCCATCTCAAAAGTTACACAGTTTTGCCCTTATTCTAGAAAACATTAAAATGTGAGGGGTGTGTTTGATTCCTGAACTATACAGCGTTTATAGTTTTCTAAGTCGATCTATTAGAAATTGGAAAACCAATTTTGGGAAATGCTTTAGAAAATTCAAAGTGCAGATAAAAGAAGGAAAAAAATCAAGACCTTGCACTTTATTATTGACAAAATTCATGGTTTCATTATTGTGAAAGACTGGCGAACAACTCTTACCCATCCAGGAACCAAATGTCACCCAAACAAAGTCAAAATAATATGAGTCAGGATGATTCTATAAGTGTCTTTTGGTTTTCTCTTCTCTCTCCGCTATGAGCCCAAAAGTTGAAATGAAAGAAAAAATAAGCAGCGTAAAGAAAAATAAAATTATAGTTTCAAAAATTAGTTAACATTACATTAATGGTGCGATTAGTTCAAAGTATGTGTATATGAAGCATAAATATGTTGGAAAGCAAATAATAAATCAGCTGCTTATTCAATAATATAGTTTTCGAAAATTAATTATCATAAGCCATTTCTCATGTTATAATTTTTCACAGAAACAATAATGAATTTCTAACTTTTCTCTCTTCAGCTCAAAAGTTTCACAATTTTCCTCTCACTTTGGAGGCTTCCAGAAAAATATTAAAATGTATTAAGAAGGTGTATTTGTTCCAACTGGTTTCTATAATATAAGTTGATTTTTAGGAATTTTCCTTGTTATGTTGTGGTTTTCACTGATTGAAAATTTGAACTATTCCAGGCTCTTGAATTGGCTGTTCAATGTTTCCAAGAGCCTGGAATAGTTCAAGTTATGAATCATTATCATCCATTACCAACTATTATCTACAATATAATGATCCTAAACCTTTTTTTACCTCAACTCAAAAGTTTCAACATTTTTCCCTTGCTGGTTTTCCAGTAAAAACTTTAAAATGTGGAAAAGTGAACAAACAGAACAGACACAATTGAGTTTTTGAAGGACGAATTTTAAAAATTTCTCATAATGCAATTTTCAACTGAAACATTCTCATATTCTTATGTAATGAACTCTCAACTAATTCCCCTTTTTATCTCAAAAGTTTCACAATTTTGCCTTCATTGAATTTTCTGCAAAAATATTTTAAAAATGTAAGAGGAGGATATTTATGGGACACTTTGAAAATAAATGAAATTGTGGCGGATACAAGTGCAGCCATGAGTTTTGTTTCCAGATAAAATTTTACAGCAAACATTAGATTTAAACCTATAATAAGTTTCTGCAAATCTATATATTGTCCATTATTTTTAATCTGACACTTTCCGTATGAGGAGCAAGGGGGTGAAGCATATGGCAAAAACAAGTGTGACGTCAGGTAACTATTTCAAACGCAGGAAGCCATTAGCTCTCATTCCTTTGAAGTATCAGATTAAAATAAATAGACTTTACATAAAAGTACCTACAGGTCTTAGGTTTTGTTGAAGTAAATGTATGTACAATCCAAAAAAATGAATTTGTACATTATTGATCATGAAAAGACAAATACCATTATTGCTTGGTCATGAAATCAATTAAACCAAAATAAATTTTACATTAATTTATTTAACACTAAAATTAATATAACAAAAAAATAAAGTCTTCATCGTCTTACTGGTAAATAACCAAATTCGATAGAATTTGGATGAAATCCTGTCGGTCCAAATGGATTCTTGGGTCCTTTTCCGGGAGGTCCGAAAGGTCCGGACGGACCTTTAGGCCCTTTGGCATCGGGTCCAGGAGGTCCTGGAGGTCCTGGGGGACCGGGTGGACCAGGGGGTCCTGGAGGGCCATTGGGTCCTCCTGGACCTCCCGGACCTCCTGGACCTCCAGGTCCTGTACCTCCGCCAGTACCTACACCTCCAACGCCACCGAATCCACCATTACCGCCAACGCCACCTATAGAAATTTCGATTATAATTCCACTAAAAGTCAACAAAGTAGTAGGTATTTAATTATGCATTAAAATATCAATGGCAAGAAGATTTTAAAGTTCAAGGCACATAAAATTTGATTTTTATGTTAATCGAGCTATAAAAATGTATTAGTCTCCCTATGCAAATCAACCAGGTAGTAAAAATATTATGTAATAATTCTATTTAAGAATAAAATTCGACCAGATTTTAAGGAAGGACGCTGCCCAAAGTATATAGGTATATATCAGAATTGGCTGAATTTTGAATATAGTGTAGATCACGCCTTTCTGATTGAAAGTTATAAAAAATACCAATGTACCAATTCTGAAAAATGACTCCTTTTTAATTTCATAGGTAACAAGTAAAATGCTTGAATATTGTAATGAACGTTCAATGTAACCCGAATTGGTAGGCTTGTAGCGCAGTGGTGTGCTACGTGGCAATTTTCAGAATTGGTGCAATGGTAACTTTTAATCAGAAAGGCGTGATATACCTACATTACATACAAAATTTAGCCAATTCTGACATAAACACAATTTCCGTATACTTTGGGCAGGGTTCTTTATACAATAATGAATGAATTAGAAATATACAATGAACCATTTCAGGATCCAACTTTTCAGAAACAATTTTTTGAAGTTTCATAAAGCTATTCCTGATTTAAATGTTCTTTGTCGAGAAGTTTAATTTGTGTTTAAATTGGCCGTCCCAGGACTTTCAATATCTAAATTCGCATAAATTTATTCTTAATTTGAACATTTAAGTGTTTCTAATAATGAAGCTTCTTGAGAAGTTATTTTACCACATTTTTCAAAGAGGTATAATATCTCTAAATCTAAACGATTACTTAGCAGAAGTTAATTATAAGTAAAAATTCTTACCATTAGGTCCAAGTATGTGCTCGTAAGGAACATCCTGGTGAATGTATTTTCCAGAATCGTCGGGAATATATTTGCCTGAATTGTCGACATATTTGCCAGAATTGTCCGGCTTGTAACGACCTTCTAATAATTAATTATTATCAAAATTATTTAATTAATTAATTACCAACCTGTTGTTTGGGGTTTGAATTGCTGTGGCCGATAATATTGTCCATTTTGTCTTCTCAACCTTTGGCCGTTTATTTTGTTGATGGTTTTAGCTGTAGTTGTCGCTAAAACAGCTACCAACAAAACCTTTAAAATAAACAAAAATTAATTCAATTATTAAGTATAATAATAAATCGATTATTAGATAATAATGGCTTACCAGAGTAAGGCTCTTCATTTTGTTGAACTGAAACGATATTTTCAAAGGCCACCATTTATATAATCTTCAAAAAATCTTGCTAATGGAGTTTTCGCACACAAAATTTTTGTCTCATTTTTCGTTTCAATAATATTATTATAATGAAAAAACAAGGAAGATGAAAAAGGATTGAAATAAATCTGTTGTAAAGGAAAAAATAAATGAAGGAAAATTCAAGCAGGTTTTTCAATTTTTCCAACAAATCATTCGAGTTTTGTCAATATAAAAATGCAAAAACTCCAATTAAAAATTTCAACTTTTGTTAATCAATATTCAAATTTAAAACAATTAATTTCCAATTCCAAGATCGCAAATATCGTAATTTAATGTTTGAATTAATCGATTCTTTTGCTCCAGTTAGAGGCCCCATTCAAACTTTTCAATTTAATTTTCCTGACAAAGAAAATTCAACATTATAAAGGTAGATCAAAACAAATTTGAATTTTGTGGCATTTGAATAAAAAATTAACATAGATATAATGTCATTGATGATCCACCTGTGTAAACTTACTTATCAAGAGTTTTGACATTTTAACATTTTAACTTCAAATAACTATGTAGGTAGGTATGTGATTATGAGAATTTCTTATTTATTAAAACTAAATTGGTATAGTATCCGCCAGAGATATTCGAGATTCGTACAAAAAAGTATATTTACATTATCTTGCATTTAATCAGGGAGCACGTGTCAGGAATCGCTTGAGTAGGTACAAGATTATATTGGCTTGAAATTATTCGTTTTATGTTTAAAATTATTTTTCAATTTTCTTAAATGTCTTCCAAATATTTAATGCAAGAAAGTAAGTACTTAATCAAATCTCTCTGTGCTCTTGGACTAAATTTATTCTCAACCCTTATCAGTAGAGTTTGTGTTGCGGTTTTTGTTTATCCGGGCATCGCCGACAAAGAAATAATTTTTTGTAGGAATCTCGAATATTTGTGGCGGCGACTATAACCTGTAGTACAGGTAGAATGGTTCACAAAATCAGTAGTAGAATAGTATTTTTATATACAATGTTTGGAGCCAAATATACAGGGTGTTCCGAAATTAATGCACCAAATTTTGTTGTTCAAATTCTAAGAAAAAAACTATTTTTCTATCATAACTTCCAAACCACTCTAGATATTTCATTGAAATTTTGTACACTGCTTTCAAGTAGCAAAAGACATTTTTTGATGTGAATAAATATTTGAAAAAAAAATTCAGTGACGTCACAGAAATAATTTGAAACTTTAGGTGTTTTAATCATAATTTCCACGATTTCGCCATGCCCCAAAGTGGTTCTTTATTTTTTATTTGAAAATGGTGCATCTGTCAGAAAAAAGTGTAGAGATCAAATTTGTTCCAAATTGAATGGGGATTTCAAAAATGATTTTTATTTTAGACAAAAGCAGTGGCGCACCTTTATAATATATAATTTATATCAAAAAATGTCTTTTGCTGCTTGAAAGCAGTGTACAAAATTTCAATGAAATATCTAAAGTGGTTTGAAAGTTATGATAGAAAAATAGTTTTTTCTTAGAATTTCAACACCCTGTATCTCGGAAAGGAAGCGTTTCCAGACATATGTTTATAAAGCAAACTAGGACTTATTTTCCACGTGGAATATGCCATAAAAATTTGGTGCATTAATTTCGAAACACCCTGTATAAAAGATTGCTCAATCAAATTTACATCGGGGCATTGTGCTCTTCAAGAATCTATATATATAAAAATTAATGCCACTTTTCGTTGTAATTTTATAACTCAAGAACGGGCTCACCTAGCCAAACCAAATGTTAAGGCTTTGTTCGAACTATTTATTAGATGGTTTATGTGAAGTTTGCACAAAATCGGTCGAGCGGTTCTTCATTTATCACATTTTTTGTGATAAATTAATTATTCAATAAATGGAGTATCATTTTGTTAATGGGGATTTTGCTGTCAAATTGAAACTTTTTTCAGCGTTGACAGTACCAGCATGTTGTAATGTCATTAATGTGGTTATATCATTACTTATTTTATTTATTTATGAAAAAAATTTACTAAGTCCGCATACGGCGCCATCTCTTATAACCGATACCAAGTTTATTTTGTATTTTGTATACCGCGCAATCTCTGATACCTGGAACGAAACTCGGCATTGCAGATATAGCAGAACAATGCTGCTCAGGAACAGGAGCTATTTCGAACAGAACTGTTCCACTATTCCGATCAGATAGAGTGGTGCAGAAAGAGAAGATCAGATAGAGTAGTGCAGATAGAGTAGAACAGATGGAGTAGTGCAGTGCACGCAGTGCAGATAGAGTGAAACAGGGCTGCGCTAGAGTTTTTTTTTGTTTACATTCTTTGAACATTTCTGTGCCTGAGTTAATTTATTTGGTGATACACTTTAGAAGAATAATGCCCACAAGCTGCCTAAAAAAGGATGATGTAAAATTTTAATTTTAGGTGCCTTCTGATCCAGAGAGTAAACATTAATTTTCTTCAACCAAAGCCAAATTCACCATCGAAAAAAACTGAATTTAATTCAGCTAATAGATACGTTAATACAACATTTAATAGGTATATTTAATAATTCAGAGGCGGTACGAAGTTCGTCGGGTCAGCTAGTATAAAATAAAATATAGGGCGTCCCATTTGAAAAAAGCTGAAAGCATGCAAAATTCCACATTTCTGACATTCAAATTTTGTTTCTTCTCTGAGTTTCTGACCATGGTTTCTAAAAATTTACCCAAAACTGTACAACTTTTGTATTTACATCTTTCTTCTACTTGTGAAGGTAAAGGCTGTAGGTGGCGTGTCAATATATAGAAAAACATCCTGTACAAATAATTTTTGCGGAACTTATGGATAGACCTCTGCGGGACGAGCGCAGCGAGTTCCGCAGCCACCTACTCACCAATATACTATTGAACTGTTCAAGTAAGACATTCACCTGAAACGTGTAGTTTTTAAACTAATGATAAATAACCGCAACAATTCACTCATTTGTACATGAATAACTTGTCACATTATGGTTACTAATTTGGTAAAGTAACATTACTAATTCCTGTTGAAAGGCAAATTGACAAAAAGTGAATAATCGTAATCTTACAAATTTTGACTTTATATAATAAGTTATTGTTAAAGTAGAAATAAGTGGATTATTGCGAAACTTATGAGTGGACCTCTGTGGAACGAGCGCAGCGAGTTACGCAGCCATCTACTCACCAAAATAGTGTTGAACTATTCAAATAAGATACTCACCTGAAACGTGTAGTTTTTGAATTAATGAGCTGTCATTTGAGTGAGCCAGGTTAATATCATACTTGAACAACGTATTAATGAATAGATGGCTGCGGAACTCGCTGCGCTCGTCCCGCAGAAGTCCACCCATAAGTTCCGCAACAATCTACTCGTTTGACTTGAATAATTTGTCACATTATGTATGTTACTACTGTGGTAAAGTAGGTAATACCAATTTCTGTTAAAAGGCAAATTGACAAGAAGTGGATAATTTTACAAATTCTGACTTTATATAATAAGTTATTATTCAAAAACAGGGTATTTTTTTATATATTAACACTCCACCTACAGCTTTCACCTTTACAATTAGAAAAAAGGTGTGAATACAATAGTTGGCTAAATTTTCAAAATCCATGGTCAGAAACAAAAATTGAATGTCAGAAATGTGAAATGTTGCATGCTTTCAGGTTTTTTCAAATGGGATGCCCTATATTTGGTTCTATATTCTTGAAGAGCACAATTTCCCGATTCCAAAACTATATAGTTTGTCGATATTTGGTTGAGCCATTTCCAACATAATTGGTTCTAAAAATTTTAAAAATACTATCAGGAAAACCAAGTATATCCTGTTCACAATCCGATGTCCACAGGTGCAGGTAAATTTATCACCTTTCCCTATCAAATAGCATTGAAAGGTTTGTGAACGGATAATAGGTATCTCAAATTTTACCTGCAGCTTTCACCTGTATAGGTAGAATGGTTCACAAAATCTGTAGTAGGATAGTATTTTTACAATTCTTGGATCCGAATATATGAGAAATTGTTCAATATAGACAAACTATATATCCCATTTGAAAAAAGCTGAAAGCATGCAAAATTTTACATTTCTGACATTCAAATTTTGTTCTTGACCATGATTTCTCCGAATTCAGCCAAAACTGTACAATTTTTGTATTTACACTTTTTAATATATAAAAAAAAACACCCTGTACCTATTTATTTAAAAAATTGGTCAATCATCTATATAGAAAATTTCTATACAAACATTTTCCTGATTTCAAGTTTCTTAAACCAACTTTCTTCTTCAAAAAAAATTTACCTGATTGAAGAGTCTTTGCAGAAGGTCCTTGTAAAAATTTTGAATTGTTGCATGGTAAAAATGTATATCAACGTTATTTTAATAATCATTGTTTTTTCTATTCCAGGCTCTTGAATGTTTCTTTTATGAAAAGAAATTTTATTCCAGGATTTTGACTGTTCCTTGATTATTCTATAATAGGAAATTTTGATGGAAACACCAATTCAAGAGCCAGGAATAATTGAAAATTGAATTTAAAGAAAAGAGAAATATATATTCCATGGAAAAACTAACTATTAAGTAGGTATATAAATAAATAAAATACAATTTAAATAAATATAATTATCACAGTCAACTTAAGCAAATTTAGGCTTAATTTCCTTACAACTAAAATCAGGATTGATACAAGAAGCCAACGTAATCAAATAGGGCAAAACATTCTGTTCCATAACCCCTGTAAAAAAATGGGCCCAAGGCCCTTTTGCATAAACCCCAACGTCTTCAGCTCCGTGGGTTTCTTTTTGACGTGGAGCTGTTGCTGGCCATACAAAATCTTTATTTTCTGTATAGAGAAAATAGTGTTAATTTTTCAATGTACACAATGAATTATACTTACCAATTTCAGTTATTGTAGGCACTTGTCTAGTTGGCTTATATCCAGGCCCGTTGGCGTAATTCAAAATCGTATAAGGAAGATTGTCTGAGGCTGTACCAGCGAAGCCAAAAATGTCGCTGCCTCTTTCTGCATAGCCTGCGTAGCTCATTGTATGTGCGTGATCTACAAAAAAACTTTTTGAATAAATACAAGCTGAAACAATAACCAACCTGCTGTAACAATTATAAGGGTATCTTCTTGATTGGTCAAATCAACAGCTTTTTGTATGGCTTTTGAAAATTCTGCAGTTTCGTCGATGGCCTTTCGGGCCAAATTGAAATGATGAGCTGTATCTATTCTGCCACCTTCTACAAACAGAAAATATCCTGTATTGTCCTTGCTTAAAATTTTTATTGCTGCTTCAGTCATTTCTTCCAAAGACGGTACAGTTTCCTTGTTTCTGTCCAAATTGTAGTCCATGTGGCCAGAATTAAATAAACCTATTTTATAAAATTGTTTGTTTGTTATATTTGTTTTTTGCATTTGATTAAAATTTACCTAACAGATAATCTGTAACATTATCAACAGTCATTAGCTGCTTCTTATTCCAAACATATTCAAACTTCTTGTTTTGCCTTTTCTTAATATTTTGCCATTCTTCTATGAGATTTTCTTGGTCTAGTCTAATGCCTTGCTCATCAGTTTGAGGTAAAAAATATTTGCTTCCACCTCCCAAAATCACATTTAAATTTTGTCCAGTTTCGCCAAATACAAGTTGATGAGCGATATCTTCACAATCAGATGGGTTTTTGCCAGATTTTATGACGTCACTATCGCTTTCCCAGTGACGATTGGATGTATGAGCGTAAATTCCTGGAAAATACAAGATAAAAGAATTCTGGACCTCGATGTATGTATAAGAACTTCAAGATTAATTTAATCAAAAACTTTTAATCAAGAAAGTTACCTGCTGGTGAAGCGTGAGTGACCCTAGTAGTAGTAACGAGTCCCGTTTTCCTGCCATCCAACTGAAAAATCCTGGCAAGCGAATCTACCCGATTTTCCTTCAATCTGGCAGCTGTACAATTCTTAGGCTGTACTGCAGCTGTCACACCTATAGTACCCAAATTGGCTTTTACACCGCCCAAATAGGCTGTAGCTGAACAGGCCGAATCTGGAGTTTGATTGTCTACACAATAAGTCTACAATAAATTAATAGATTTATATTAATTTTTTTTTTTTTGTTATATAGGTACCTTGCATAGTCCTGTATAAGGAAAAGTATCAAAAGCCAAAGACATTTCTTCGCCTCCCATGTAGACTCTTGTGGCTGATATTGTTGAAATAGACATTCCATCACCCATTAAAAATATTACATTTTTGGCTGTATCTAATATGTAAAAAGAAATTATAAAACAATAATGAGTTTTTAATGGAAACTTACTAAAATTCAAACGTCTCTTTAATCTGTCTTTAACAGCCTTTATAGCTTCATGTTTCCAAAATTCTTTAGTAGTTTCTCTATAGATTTCTGCTCTTGATTTACTCCTTATGGCTTTGTTTTTGAATGTACTAATGACATCATCTAAATTTTTCAATTAACCAAATATTTTTAAAAAAAATTGCAAATTTTTACCTTTTTCCTCCTTATGGCAAAAGCAACCATAAACACTAGCAAATAAAACCAAAAACTTTAGAAATATTTTCATCGTCAAAAGAACTTTTACTTATTTGCAATAAAACAAAGAATTGCTTCATTTTAATATAATAATTTGATTTCTCCCTCTATTTAATTTAAATCTTGAGGTCGATTAATTAACTTTGTAATTAATACAATTGAGATTTTTATTTTTTTGATAATAAACTAATAATAGCAATGGCAAGGCCTCGTTAATCATGCATTAATTTATTAGTTTTCAGAGGTTGTTTGGTTTTCAAATTTCATGGTTAATACACTTTTGCGGTTTAAATTGATTGAAATATTCCAGGAGAATTGTTTATTGAACTGTTTTGAAGCTGTATTGAAATTACTTATTGAACATTTATAGAAGATTTAGTTGGCTTTAATTCAAGCCTAGTAACGTTAAAATCGGATTGAAATTAACAAAGTTATGAGGTAAAATGTGAGGTGATGTTATTTTGAAAGAAATCCAAATGCTACTTTATTGACGCAATAGCACTTTATTATTATGGGTTATTATTATGAATCTCCATTCGTAGGTCGATCGAGTGTTCGCCACTGGTATCAGCCTGTTGCTGACAATAGATGAAAGGTGTAAATACAAAAGTTGTACAGTATTGGCTAAGTTTTTAGAATCCATGGTCAAAAACAAGAATTGAATGTCAGAAATGTGGAATGTTTTATGCTTTTAGCTTTTTTCAAATGGGATGCCCTATATTTGGTTCTATATTCTTGAAGAGCACAAATTCCCGATTCCAAAATTATATAGTTTGTCTATAGTTGGTCGAGCCGTCTCCAACATATTTGGTTCTAGTACCTCAAATTTTACCTACACCTTTCACCTATACAGGTAGAATGCTACACAAAATCAGTAGTAGGATGGTATTTTTACAATTTTTGGAGTCGAATATATGTGAGATTGCTCAATTAAATATAGATCTGGGCATTGTGCTTTCAAGAATAGGTATAGAAAGAAATATAGGGCATCCCATTTGAAAAAAGCTGGAAGTATGCAAAATTTTACATTTTTTACATTCAATTTTTTTTTCTGACGATGGTTTCTAAAAATTCAGCCAAAACTGTACAACTTTTGTATTTACACCTCTCTTGTAGCTGTAAAGGTAAAGGCTGTAGATGGGGTGTCAATATATAAAAAAAACAACCTGTACAAATAAATGGATTATTGCGGACCTTATAGGTGGACCTCTGCGGAACGAGCGCAGCGAGTTCCGCAGCCATCTACTCACCAATATACTGTTGAACTGTTCAAGTGTTCAAGTAAGACATTCACCTGAAATGTGTAGTTTTTAAACTAATAAGAATAACTCACATTTGAGTGAGTCATGTTAGTATCGAAATTTCGTAACATATTTATGAATAGATGGCTCGTCCCGCAGAGCTCCACCCATAAGTTCCGCAACAATTCACTCATTTGTACTTGAATAACTTCTCATATTATATTACTAGTTTGGTAAAGTAATATTACTAATTCCTGTTAATAGACAAATTGACAAAAAATGAATAATCATAATCTTACAAATTTTGACTTTATATAATAAGTTATTGTTCAAGTACAAATAAGTGGATTGTTACGGAATTTATGGGTGGACCTCTGCGAAACGAGCACAGCGAGTTCCGCAGCCATCTACTTACCAATATACTGTTGAACTGTTCAAATAAGACACTCACCTGAAACGTGTACTTTTTAAACTAATGAGAATAATTCACATTTGAGCGAGTCAGGTTAGTATCGTAATTTCATAACATATTGATATATAGATAGCTGCGGAACTCGCTGCGCTCGTCCCGCAGAGGTCCACCCATAAGTTCCGCAACAATTCACTCATTTTGCTTGAATAATTTGTCACATTATGTTACTAGTTTGGTAGAGTAACATTACTAATTCCTGTTGAAAGACAAATTGACAAAAAGTGAATAATCATAATCTTACAAATTTTGACTTTATATAATAAATTATTGTTCAAGTACGAATAAGTGGATTATTGCAGAACTTTTGAGTGGACCTCTGCGGGACGAGCACAGCGAGTTCCGCAGCCATCTACTCACTAATATACTGTTGAACTGTTCAAATAAGAGACTCAACTGAAACGTGTGTAGTTTATGAACTAATGAGAAAAATTCATAACTGAGTGAATCAGGTTAGTATTGTACTTGAACAACATATTGGATAATAGATGGATGGGTCCACCCATAAGTTCCGCAACTTGTTACAATGTAGGTATTACTAGTTTGGTAAAGTAACATTACTAATTTCTCAATTTTTATCCATTTCAAGCATTTAAACTTTTGTTTTCATAGAAATTTCTCTAGACAGAAAAAATTCAAGAGCCAATAATGGAAAAAGAATAATTTTATTCACCAATGTTTTCTCAAGTATTTCCAAATCTGCTCTCTTTATTTCTCAACTTTCTGTCTATTCCAAGCTCTTGAATTTATTTTAATTTGAATATAGGAAATTCAAATGCCAGTAATAGATAAACAATACCTGAATCATGGCCTGTTGAATTTCAGGATTTATATCTCTTGGATTTTTTCAAAATTTATATAATTTACAGCACTCATTAAATGATTGCTTCTTTACGATCATCTTCATTGAAAATTCCTACAACAAAATGTCGAAATTTCTGAATCTCCTTGGATCGCCACAAATTTACTTAAGAATCTCCTTTATATCTTTCTAAAATCTATTCCTAGCATACAAAATTTCTTCAAAAAGTATTTCAAAATATTCTGGATCTCCTCAGATATCTCTTTAATCTTCTTGGAGCGCCTCAGTTAATATTCGTATGTCGTTGTGGAGCTTCTCCAAATATCTTCAGATATTCTTCTTTTGGAACACTATAAACAATCTCTTGAGATTTCCTGAAATCTTTAATATCTTCGGATATCTTCAAATTTTTTGCTCTTGGTATATACATATCTTCAACAAGTATCCTAAAGTCTTTTCTGGATCTTCTCAGACACTCAGATCTCATTTCAAATATCTTCTGAATCTCCTTGGATCCCCTCAAATTAACTTAAATTTCTGGGAATCTCCTTAATATTTTTGGATACCATAAAATCTGTCTCTGGCATACAAAATCTCTTCGAAATGTATTCCAAGATCTTCCAGGATCTCCTCAGATATCTCTATAATCTTCTTGGAGCGTCTCAGGAATATTCGAATTTTGTTGGAGTTTCTCTTGATATTTTCGGATATTCTTTCTTTTGAATGCAATGAGGAATCTCCTAGGATATCCCATGGATATATTCAAATTTACTTGATTCTCTTTGAATTTCCTGGGATCTGTAATATCTTTGGATATCTCCAAACTTTCTCCTCTTGGGATGCAAATATCTTTAACAAGTATCCCAAAGTCTGCTCTGGATTTTTTCAGATATCTTCTGAATTTCCTTAGATCTCCTCAAATTAAATTGGATTTCTGGGAATCTCCTTTAATATCTCTGGTTACCCTGAAATTTTTTTCTGGCAAAATATCTTCAAAAAGTATTTTAAAATATTCCGGAAGATATCTCTTTGATCTTCTTGGAGCGTCTCAGTTGATATTCGTATTTCGTTATGGAGCTTCTTCAGATACTCTTGGTATACAAATATCTTTAACAAGTATTCCAAATGCTTCCCTGGATCTCCTCAGATACCTTCTGAATTTTTTGGATCTCCTCGAATTCACTTGGATTTCTGGGAATCCCCTTAGCACTCTCGCCACCAAAGATATTTTCAATTTTCTCGTTATGATGTATAATAACCAGAAAAATTGTTCTGAATTGTTATTTTAGTTTTATTTTAACCCCTTCCCCCCCTAACACCATTTTTTCATAGTGTACATTAATGTGACACTTTTTTCATTTTACCTCTACCCCGTAAGTTGTATTCGTCCCACGCCGATGCTCTGTATACCCAATGAACTGAACAAACACACTGGAACGGTGGTGGCTGCATAATGTTTCTATGCAAGAGTTTGTGCCAGGAAGGACAACAAACAAGAGGGATTTGCATCTCTCTCTGCACTATATGGCGGCTATTGAGATCAGCTGTTTGAAGTTTTTGGATCATTGAGGTTAGGAAGATGAAGAAGCTCTTCTCTCTTTTACGTTAATCGCAATGAGTGCGAGCGAGACAACAATCCCTCTGTATTGCTGGGTTGCATATATCAAAATTCGGCACACTAGCATAAAGCAGTGCGCCCATTCCAGAGTGTTTGTTTAGTTCAATGTGTATACCGAAATAAAACCACAAGCCAACAGAGTAAGTCCCCCATATGAAATACGTTATTGGTGTTACACTTTTGATATACAAGCGTTTCAACCCAAACTTTGCTGGTGTACATTATTGTTACACGTGTACAGGGTGTCAAGTGATAAAAAGTACCACCACGTATAACTTTTATATTTTCGTTTTAATTAGGTAACGGCCCAATTAAGGACCGATTGAGAAGTGTTTTATCTCTGCGGGACCATCCGTGGACGCGTTTCGCTGTATCACAGCTCATCAGCACGGTTAGGTCCCCAATGTTTTTCGGTACCAACCGACTTAACTTCTGGTTGGCAACTAGAATAGCTATTCTCGCAATTGTGGCGAATGCCTTTGCGAGTCGATTTGCTCTAATTTAATACTGGTTTATACGGTTGTTAGTAGCAATTTTTTAGTGTGCCGATCAGAAAATAGATGGAGACTCTATCTTCATCTTACTTTTATATTTTCGATCGTAGATAAAAAACTTAGAGGTGGTGGTACTTTATAACTTGACACCCGGTACATTAATGTTACACGCTTGTCAATACAAGGTTTAAGGTAATTTATATAAATCATAACATTATATATAAGTACAAACTACATGCTACATCGGTAAATAACAACAAAATATAAGCAGGTATGTGGAGTAAACCTTAAGTACCTAGGCTCCTACTTTTTTATGTCTACATACAACTAAGTACCAAATTCAACAAATGATTATCAAAATTGTTTTTATGTACGACCCACACTGTAAGGGCTTATTACGTAACTAATTTTAGCCTGTTTGAGTTACGTAATAAGTTGTATTATCGTACTTAGTGATGTAATGAGCTCATTACGTAATTCATTTTTATTGAAAAAGGGCACTTTTTAAAATTCATTTATTCGAAAAAATTATAAATCTAATATATTGAGAAAAATTAAAAACATTTCGAATACATAATAAAAAAATCTGGGTCGTACATAAAATGTTGTATATTCCACGTACGGTAACGCTCATTACAGCACTCGTGTGATTACCACGACTCGGTCTACGACCTCGTCTTGGTAATATTTCCCACTATTGTTACTGTAATGAAGCTCATACCGTACTAGTAACATAAATAACTACCTATTATTGAATGGGGTTTGGGTTGGGTGGGCCACTTCACCATTTGCCCGGTGGGCCAAATGACCACCAGTCCGACACTGAAGTTATTGTTCAAGTATGTACATACAGTTTTCGAATAATCATACAGTTTCCTATGTAGGTACAGTTTTTGAATAATTTTTGTATATTTTCGTATGGTTTATAATGGTTCTCCATTCGTAGGTCTATCGAGTGTACGCCACTGATATTTTCCTGTTTCTGAATAACCTCTCAACCTTTCCATGTTTGTATGAATTCAATCAATTTTTGGATATTAGAAGGCTATTTCGTAGAACCCAGTCACCCAAATTTCCCATCCATTCATTCATTTGCCCTCTTGCAATCTCTCAAGAATTATTATTAAAAACCAAAAAGCTGCTAGAAAGACATAACAACAAGAGTGGTTCAAGAACAGAGAGAATTGTTTCATAATTCTCAATTTTCAGTTCTGTATCGAGCTATCTGTGAGAACTTGCAAAATTGAGGTTTTTCATCAGACAAAAGTGGCAAAGGCAGGAAACATGTTTTTTCTCGGTCACATTATATGTGGAAAATGAGATGGTTTCCAACCCCACATTTGAAAAAAGAGTAGAAACCAAGGACTAAGAAGAAATACAACATCCAGTCTCTCTAGTAAGTCAATAAATAGGATTATTGAGGAGTTTGCAGGAGTCTGTATGGCACTTTAAGATAAAGAGGTTCTACAGTTTTAGGAGAAATATTTGCTAATATTATCTTTTTTTGTGTCATGTCCCAAGTATAGATGTATTATTCATAATTTGTTCAAAACTTCTATTAGTGAGCGAACGCAGATATACAGGGTGAGTTATTAAGCACGCGGTCATCCATATTTCCTATACTAACGGAGATCGAAAAAAAAACCTAAATACAAAACTTGTAGATAAACATGAGTACTATATTCCTAAATTATTTTCCAGTATACAGGGTGGCCCAATAGCTAGTAGTGACACAAAATTATGTTTTTCTACTGACATTTCATAATACGCTATTAAACGATTAAAATCTGTATCATAATGAACTTCATTTCGATACAGATTTTCATTATAATACTCATTTTTAATATTATACAATGTAGATAGATGGCAGCACTAGTTAAGATATTAAACATTTTAAACGGTGATTTTGCGTAAAACAATTATTTTGATAACTATAAAAAAGACTCCGAATTGTTTAAAAGTTACCTTAAGTTTGGGACAAAGAATAATTATTATGGAAATCATGAATGATAACGAAGAATTTTTACTTTCTTCATTATTATACATTGTCAATAGATGGCGCCACCAGTTAAAAAAATTTGATTTTTTTTTTTTGAATTTTAACAGCACTCTGTTTATAGCTTTTCCATGGTAATTTAGCGAAAAACAATAATTTTATAAAAAAAATACTTCAAATTGTTATTAAAAGTTAATACCTAAAGTTTGGGAGAAGGCATTATTATGGAAATATTGAGCGATAACGAAGGATTTTCACTAACACCTCCAGAAATTACAGAAAGGGCGACAAATGCAGTTAATAATATACCAAGAAAATTTACGAAAAATTATATGGACAATTTATGGATTGGAGAAACACCAAAAATACATCATCCTTCTCAGAAAATGTTTTGATAGTATATTTTGAAGAGTTACAAGAAAAAATGAAACCTTCAACTGTATGGACGCATTACTCAATTATAAAATCCCTATTCAAAGTTAAGCATAATGTTACCATATCTAAATATCATCAAGTTTTATCAATGGCAGTAGAAAAAATAGTGTATGCAACTCTCATGTAATGGCCATTACATGATCATTGCATAATATACTAATTTTTTTAAACGACTCCCCCTATAAATTATGACTTTACTGGATTTTGCGGAAAATTATAGACATATTTCATGTACAATGTCATATACCTATCTTCAATTGTTTCGGAAATATTGACAGTTGAAAATTCACTTTTTTGCATCTTTGACAGACTATGAAACCTGAACGGCTAATTTTAGAGGAAAACAGATTTTACATTTCTGTCTTAGATTTTCATAAGCTATCATTTGACACCAACTTTGAATTTAACCGAAGATTAATAATTTAGAAAGAATTTTTAATCATGGATTAAATTCAAGATTGATGTCAAATCATAATTTATGAAAAACTAAGACAGGAATGTAAAATCCGTTTTCTTGTAAAATTAACCCTTCAGGTTTTACAGTCTGTCAAAGATGCAAAAAAAGTCACTTTTCAACTGTCAATATTTCCAAAACAGTTGAGGATAGGTATATAACATGTTCCAGAAATGTCATAATATACAGGGGGAGTCATTTAAAAAAACATAATTTTGTGTCACTACTAGTTATTGGGCCACCCTCTGTATACTAGAAAATAATTTAGGAATGTAGTACTCATGTTTATCTACAAGTTTTGTATTTAGTTTTTTCTCCGATCTCCGTTAGTATATGAGATATGAACCACCGCGCTCTTAGTAACTCACCCTGTATACGACATAGGTAAGAGTAGCGTTTTGGTTCGAAAAAAGGACAGTTCTAGTACAGTTTTTGAATAATCATACAGTTTTGTATATTTTCGTGTGGTTCTCCATTATATATTTCAAATCAGAAAATTTGACTCTTTTCAACTATGAAGTAATTAGGCAATTCAATCCATCTGTCAAAAAGGAAAATTCAATGTGGCGTGGCGGCCAAGCAAGTTTGTTTTGAAAATGTTTTTAAGCGTATTTTAAATTATTTTGCATAGAGTTTGGCTTACAACTTTGATTTTCATTATTTAATAATATTAACTGGGTACCTAAACTATTAATTCGGGCAGAAACTAGATATTTTTTTGTGTTTTTTGGCCCATGTGTGGCCGCCATGCCATCTTGAATGTCACGTGGTTTGAATTGCCTAATAGAGTGACTAACCATCAGTCAAAATTTGACATTTCTAAAAAAAAAACAAAAAAGTTTTTGACATTAGATTCAAAAATTTCGGGTTAATTTTTTGTATTTACAATTTTTTGATATTTCTTCACATAATTTCTGTAGCGGAGGGGTCAATATATGGGGAAAGACCCTGTATAATTTTCGAATAATTTTCATCTGATTATAAAACTTTGTATATTTTTGTATGAATCCCCATTCGTCGTAGGTCGATCGAGTGTAAGCCACTGGTATCACCCTGTACATTCCTTATAATTTAATCTAAATTAAATAGCAACTTCAAATAAAAATAAAACGTAATATAACCTTTTCTGCATACAATTATTTAATTTTGATTATAATAAATACATTTTCCTCAATGATAATAACAATATAAAAACAAAAACTTTGACAAACAAATACAACAACAATAATCATTCAACTAAATTAAAAATACAAATATTGTCTTTTTGCTTATATAAATAATCTTTGTATATTATTATTAATCACATTTAACATTGTTTTTATAAGTATTGATTAATATGAAACATTTATACGTCATTAATTGTTATTTAATACATAAAATGTGTGACATTTTAAAAGCAGTGCTTGTGTTCTTTCAATGATAATAATTACCATGACAAATTATTTATAAATTAATTTTGTTTATTTTTTTATAATAAATGGGAAGAACAAATACATAATATATTGTTATTATACAAAGCCCTTATAACAATTATTAGTAAGTAGGTATATAAAGGAAATTTTTATATAGAGCCATGTGTGTGTTTCATCTTGTTTATATAATTTTGGACCAGAGTTTTTGCTTCACTAACTAGTTTTTGGAAGTCAGGATACCTACAAATTCTGAAAAAAGAAGAATTTCATATTTATTAATTACTTATTATGATTATTACCTTCATAATTAACTTGTCCATCACCATCTAAATCGGCTTCCTTGATCATATCGTCCACTTCTTCTTCAGACAGACGTTCACCTAAGCTGGTCATCACGTGACGAAGCTCTAAGCTTGATATAAGACCGTCGTTGTTTTTATCGAAAACTCTATATAAAACAAAATAATTGTACATTTTTATATTTATTTTTATGTATTTTACTTATTTTATTAGATAAGATGTTATTTGTGTCTTTATAAACAATTACAAATTGTTTCTTCTTCTTATTTTATGTTATATTTTTCATTGTTATTTCTTTTATTATATACTTACTTAAATGCTTCTTTTAGTTCTTCTTCGCCGTCGGCATCTTTCATTTTCTTGGACATCATTTGCAAAAATTCGTTGAATTCGATAGTGCCGTTGCCGTCTTGGTCCACTTCGTTCACCATATCTCTGAGTTCGGTTTCTGAAGCAAAATTGAAATTGTTCTGAGTCAGAAACATGAATATCTGATCTTGAAAGCGAAATATAATTATTTATGGTATCTAATGTATGTAGTAGAAGAATCTCCAGTAGATAAACACATGTGTTACTCCGTTAAACTCAAAGAACCCTTACTTGTTTTTAAAAAACTTCGTGACTTTCTCTTAAAACCAATTTGATTTGCCCCAAAATCCAGTAGACATTTACCCCGTGAAATGGAAACATTTTCCCGTTCAATTCAAATAGATCTGTGAATTTAGTGATTTGTAATTTTCTCTCTTCGATTTCTCTTTAGTATGCAAAAGATAGAAATCAAAAATTCAAAGGTTGTTTTCCACACAAGTTATCTTATACAGTTAAAACCAATTGAAAAAACAAGACCTAAAGAACTATATTGACTACCTATTGAAAATTGGGTTGGTACAAGGGTGTAAACTGGGTCTTTTAATTCCAGGGATTAGAAATTTCACTCTATTTCTCGGAATCCCTCTAAAGTACCTATAATAGTGTATACCCTTCAGGACTAAAGTGTTTTGTGTTTTTTAATCCCTCGAAATTTTTTGTCTTGGGATTAAAACTACCACTTTAGTCCCTAGGTATATGATGTACTATATTTGTACCTGGCCTAGCAGGACGAAAAAAGCAACATAAGAAACTCAAAGGGTAAGAAAAAGATAGAGGCCAAAACATCTAAAAATCAGTCGTTTTTAAACTGGATTTTTCCCTTGAAAATCTCTTTAGAGTAATTATTTTTTAAAAAAATATTCTTTTACCTGTTGGTCGTTGTCCAAGAGACCTCATAACCACGCCCAATTCAGCCATAGTAATTGTACCATCTTCGTCTTTGTCGAACAACATAAAGGCCTCTTTGAATTCGGCAACTTGATCTTCTGACAGTCCATAATCGTTCTGAAAATAAAAATAAAATTCTTCACAATCTTGCAACATTGTTGGAAAATTCTAGACAAATCTAGAAGTAACGACGCTCTATAAAACGGAATAGACTTACACTATTTTGTCGCACTACAAGTTCACTAGTGAGCCTCTTTAATCTGGAATATTCCTTTTCGTATCTGTGACTGTTTGTCATTTTTCTTTTATTATACACAAAGTTTATTTAGCAAAAAATTTTCGAATACAAAATACCTCGGCTCGAAAATATTTGCGTATGATGATCTATTTATAATTTTGTAGGGAAAAGTCGCGCATATTATAGCGGGACAACTAATTTCTCGTGCCTGGATGTAAATAAAAACCTTAATTTTTATATAAATAAAATCACCAATAAATAAACTATTGGCAATGATTTTTAAGTTATAAATCACCAATTATATTATTGTCACTGGATCACACAGACGATTCGGGATAAACAAAATTCCTCTCTGGAAAATATGAAGTGCTAACTAATATTTCCATTGAAAAATCGTCTAATTTATCAAAACAGGAAAATTGGCAGCGACGAACAAGGTGATCCCCGGTTTTCTGTCGTTTGCCAACTATCCAAACATTAATTAATTTTTCATTTTTCTGGGATTTTTGAGGAATCGATTCAAATCTTCTTCTATATAAATTCAAAAAGTTTCAAATTTTTATTATTATGGGATTTTTGAGATAAAAATTAGTATAAATCGTTTAATCAAACTTTTTCCCAAATAATGAAATATATACTATTGATATCCAGAAGCAAAGACCAAAAAGCTGTAGTATGTAGAAAATATTCCAAGGATATTAAAAGGAAAATAATAATTCCATGATTTATCAATTTCTTTGTAGAATTTTGATTCTCCTATGAGGAATTTGTTTCAATGAACTGCTCTGGAACATTCCTAAGTTTTCATCTGGCTGGATTCTGGAAAGACTATAAAGCGTCGCAGCTTTTAAATTATTGAAGCTGCATTAAAATTATCCACTAGAAATTTATAGAGGATTTAATGGGCTTCAATTTAAGCCTAATTACATTAAGATCGAATCGAAATTAACAAAGTTATGTGGCAAAATATGTATCAATGTTATTTTGAAAAAATCAAATTTCCAAATTTTTGAAGAAAATGTCTGAAGGATTGAATTGAAAATGCAAGTGGATAGAAAAAATATTTAAATTTTCATTAAAACCAAACTAAAACTTATTCTTACCAAATTGATGGTGACAATTAAATCATGCTGGTGATGCTTGCCCTTTTTGGTTTTCTTCTTTTTACCAGCATCGATTTTCGCTGGAGCCTGCTTTATGGGTTGGCCCTTTTGCTGGGTGGCCGATTTGCTAGGAGTTTTTGGTCCCTTGGCACCATGAGTTGGAGTCCTGGGTCGTACTTGGGTACTACCGTCTGCTGGCTTGTTACGAGCCTGAAACAATTTAAAATAATTTGTAAGAAGTTAGTCCAATAATAAAACTGTAAGTACAATTCAAAAATTTAATTTCATTTATTGAAAATTGGAGACTCAGAAAACAGTTATGGAATCAGAACCAAAGGCAATAGGATAGCAGGGATAAGAAGATTCAAAAACTCAAAAGTGAATTCAGTAACAAGAAAAAAGGCCTTCTTGATTTACATAATATACAACTCTATTCTGGATATCTATTAGGCAGCTCAGAAGTCCTAAATAGATCAGTCAAAATGATCCAGGAAGAGCTGCACTTTATCTTCAAATGTTAACTGGAAGATTGAGATTAATCCAGAGAATCTAGAATCTTATTGGTCTTACAATAAAGCAAGGTTGTATAAAGTCATTGTCTACGTGAAATTAACATTTGGGTAATCCAAAATCCAGAGACTCAAAGTTTATTTCCAACTTAATTAGCCATGTAAATCCAAAAAACCTAAAAATACATCAATAAATCCTGAGTAGCCTCCACATAATCAAATTTATGTCCCAGCTCAAAGTTTAAGGTCTGCATATAAGCAAATCTAAAAATGTTTGTGGCGCCACAAGAAATGCCTTTATAATTCGGAAAGTGGGCCAATGACACACAGAAATGCAACTCAATCTGGATATAAAGAAGATTTCTATTTAATATATCGAACCACTACCACGTGGGATTCTCTCTATAACCGATTGCTGTCTAAATTTATAAATAATATATGGCAAGAGGAGGAGGAGTAGGATGGAAATTGGTAATATGTTTGGATAGGGGACATTTTTCAATTTGGTCAGTCTTTGAGTTGTTCTTGTCGTACCAACAAGATTTTGGAATAATTTTGTTTTTTAAATAATAGAAAAATGGTTAGTGCATGGTCAATAATTATTATTGAAGTTTTAGTGATAATTGTGTGTTCTGGTCATTTTTTTTTGGTCCATTTAAGCTTGTACTTTTATACATTAATTATTTCTTTTATAAAACAATAAAAATTCTTCTATAAATCTTCAAACTTATACAAAAATATAACATCTTTGATAAATTAAAAAATGATTATAACAAGTAGATAGGTAATTTATCAAAAATTCCTGCTGGCAAACGTAGAAACAGAAACTATTAATTTCATGCCAATTTGAACGAAATATTGCTTAATGTTAACATCATTAATTTTTGTGTAATTTTTGAGTTTAATTTGATTTAATTTTTACAGGCAGAGGCAGGAGATCAACAAATGCAATGTAAGTAATAACTTTTTCTACTGACGTTTCATAATAGCAACTTTTCGATTGTCATTTCAGTTTTGAAACGACATTCTTTTAGGCACTGAGTGCGTGAAAGTTACTTTTAGGCACTCAGTGCGTAAAAGTGACTTTTGAATGCGTAAAAGTGACTTATGAGTGCGTAAAAGTAATTTTTAAGCACTAGTGCCTAAAAGTGTCATTCATTATTCAGAAATAAAAAACACACTAAACACATATTTGAATTTTGTTTTGTATTTATTATGAATATTGAAAATGGAATTACTGAATTGAACGTTTGGGTTACTCAAAACAGAACTTTGTGTTATTACCTACTTTCTAGGATTTTAATTATTGATGTCGAATTTTGAAAAGAAAATCGCATGAAAAGTGTCAGGTGTCAAGTAAAAGCAGGTAACAAAAATTTTGGGTGTAATCGACTTATTCACATGAAATAAAATTGTGTTTTTTTATTATAAAATGCCAGTAGAAAAAATCTTGTATACAATACGTTACGAAACGGTGTCTTTTAGTCACTCGACGTGTTGTCCAACTCGGCTTTGCCTCGTTGGACAATTTTCATGTCGCGTGCCTAAAAGACGCTCATTTCGTAACTTATTGTATAAATAGCTATTTTGTATTATTTTTTTTTTTGCTCATTTGTTCTTTGTCATTCGTTTATCTTCTTTTAGATTTTCTTCTTTGTCCCTTGTTAAGCTTCTTTTATTCTTTATTATTCCTCAAGTCCTCTATTTCCAGCTTTTCTTTTAGAGTTTTTCTTTGTTCCTTTATAGGCTTCCTTGTTCTTTATCATTGTTCTATATTTGTTCATTTTCTAATTTTTTCTCCAATCCAAAAGTAAATCTCAGTTTTGGCTCAGGGAATCGTTTTAAATCTTGACATGCTCATGAATAATTGTCTATATCTTCGATGACATTTGAGAAAATTTCTTACAATTATACATCATTGGAAAGAGTATTAAATTCTCTATAAAACTGCGTCAAGAGCCGGCAATAATTGAAAATTGAATCTCAAAGAAGATCATCTAGTAATCAATCAGAGAAGTTTCCTAATCCCTCTAATGCATCAGCCTAATTTTGAACTTTTCTTATATAAAGTCAGAATTTGTAAGATTATCCACTTTTTGTCAATTTGCCTTTTAACAAGAATTAGTAATGTTACTTCACCAAACTAGTAATATAATGTGACAAGTTATTCAAGTGCAAACGAGTGGATTGTTGCGGAACATATGGGTGGACCTCTGCGGGACGAGCGCAGCGAGTTCCGCAGCCATCTATTCATTAATATGTTGTTTAATTACGATATTAACCTGACTCACTCAAATGTGAGTTATTCTCATTAGTTTAAAAACTACACGCTTCAAGTGAATGTTTTACTTGAACAGTTCAATAGTATATTGGTGAGTAGATGGTTGCAGAACTCGCTGCGCTCGTCCCGTAGAGGTCCACCCATAAGTTTTGCAACAATTCACTCATTTGTACTTGAATAATTTGTCACATTATGTTAAGTACCTACTAGTTTGGTTAAGTAACATTACTAATTCCTGTTGAAAGGCAAATTGACAAAAAGTGGATAATCTTACAAAAGTACAAATAAGTGGATTATTGCATAACTTATGGGTGGACCTCTGCGGGACGAGCGCAGCGAGTTCCGCAGCCATCTACTCACCAATATACTATTGAACTGTTCAAGTAAAACATTCACTTGAAGTGTGTAGTTTTTAATGAGAATAACTCACATTTGAGTGAGTTAGGTTAATATCGTAATTAAACAACATATTAATGAATAGATGGCTGCGGAACTCGCTGCGCTCGTCCCGCAGAGGTCCACCCATAAGAGCACGAGAATTAGTAATGTTACTTCACCAAACTAGTAATATAATGTGACAAGTTATTCAAGTGCAAACGAGTGGATTGTTGCGGAACTTATGGGTGGACCTCTGCGGGACGAGCGCAGCGAGTTCCGCAGCCATCTATTCATTAATATGTTGTTTAATTACGATATTAACCTGACTCACTCAAATGTGAGTTATTCTCATTAAAAACTACACACTTCAAGTGAATGTTTTACTTGAACAGTTCAATAGTATATTGGTGAGTAGATGGCTGCGGAACTCGCTGCGCTCGTCCCGCAGAGGTCCACCCATAAGTTCTACAATAATCCACTTATTTGTACTTTTGTAAGATTATCCACTTTTTGTCAATTTGCCTTTCAACAGGAATTAGTAATGTTACTTAACCAAACTAGTAGGTACTTAACATAATGTGACAAATTATTCAAGTACAAATGAGTGAATTGTTGCAAAACTTATGGGTGGACCTCTACGGGACGAGCGCAGCGAGTTCTGCAGCCATCTACTCACCAATATACTATTGAACTGTTCAAGTAAAACATTCACATGAAACGTGTAGTTTTTAAACTAATGAGAATGACTCACATTTGAGTGACTCAGGTTAATATCGTAATTAAACAACATATTGATGAATAGATGGCTGCGGAACTCGCTGCGCTCGTTCCGTAGAGGTTCACCCATATGTTCCGCAACTATTCACTCATTTGTACTTGAATAACCTGTTACATTATGTTACTAGTTACTAGTTACTAGTAACATTACTAATTCCTCTTGAAAAGCAAATTGATAAAAAGTGGATAATCTTACAAATTTGACTTTATATAATAAGTTATTGTTCAAGTACAAATAAGTGGATTATTGCAGAACTTATGGGTGGACCTCTGCGGGACGAGCGTAGCGAGTTCCGCAGCCATATCTATTCATCAATATGTTGCTTAATTACGATACTAACTTGACTCACTCAAATGTGAATTATTCTCATTAGTTTAAAAACTACATGTTTCAAGTGAATATTGGTGAGTAGGTGGCTGCGGAACTCGCTGCGCTCGTCCCGCATAGCTCCACCCATAAGTTCTGCAATAATCCACTTATTTGTACTTGAACAATAACTTATTATGTAAAGTCAAAATTCGTGAGATTATCCACTTTTCGTCAATTTGTCTTTCAACCGGAATTAGTAATGTTACTGTACCAAACTAGTACCTAACATAATGTGACAAGTTATTCGTTATTCAATTACTAGTGAATTGTTGCGGAATTTATAGGTGGACCTCTGCGGGACGAGCGCAGCGAGTTCCGCAGCCATCTATTCATCAATATGTTGCTTAATTACGATACTCACTCAAATGTGAATTATTCTCATTAGTTTAAAAACTACATATTTCAGGTGAATGTCTTACTTGAACAGTTCAACAGTATATTCGTGAGTAGATGGCTGCGGAACTCGCTGCGCTCGTCCCGCAGAGGTCCACCCATAAGTTATGCAATAATCCACTTATTTGTACTTGAACAATAACTTATTATATAATGTCAAAATTTGTAAGATTATGATTATCCACTTTTTGTCAATTTGCGTTTCAACAGGAATTAGTAATGTTACTTTACCAAACTAGTAACATAATGTAATAAGTTATTCAAGTACAAATGAGTGAATTGTTGCGGAACTTATGAGTGGACTATTCACAATTTCGAGGATAAAACGAATATAAACGTTGTGGAACTAAAAAACCAAACAAAATGCAAACATTGCAAGAAAAAAGTGGTAGACTCTTATGAATGTGAGTGAAAACTGTAACGCCAGCTTCCATCCAAGTTGTGCTAACCAAGCTAAAGTTACAAATAACAGTGGAAAAGTGTTTTCTTGTGCAGGGCAAGATCATTAGTGAGGTTATACCAAGTAAAAAGGGAGATAGTGGTCTTAAAAGCTCAGATACTGTAATTATGGATGAAAGAAAACTGAAGAACATAATTCGTGAGACCATACAACAGTCCATGGATAGCTTCGAGAAGAAAATTGACTCAAAAATGAATGAACTTGAAAAATCTGTTCAACATATTATGTCTCTCATTTTTGATGAACAAATAAAGACATTTGACAGTGTCTTGGAAGAACATAAGGTACCTACTAAAGAAGGAAAATAAAGACCTCAAGGATAGACTACGAATAGTTGAGGATAAACTGGATAACCTGGAACTTAAAGAAAAGCAGAACAATATGGTGATTATTGGTGTACCAAAACAAGAGAATCTGAGCATATATGAAACCGTATCTAGGATCTGTATGTCATTGCAAGCACCACTTTGCAATGAAGATATCAATGGAACTTATACAGAGTAAGTAAGAAGGAAGATGCACCTATCCTTGGGAAGTTTAAAACCAGAATTAAGAAGAATGAAATTATGAACATGATTAAAAGTGTTAAAGGAACAACAGTTGAAAAATGTCAACTTCAAGGTACAAACAGAAAAATCTACTTAAACGATGACTTACCTGTCAAAAAACGAGAATTACTTAAACAAGTGAGAGACTACAAGAACAATAAGGGATACAAGGCCGCCTTTTGCAGGAATGGTATCATATACTCAAAGAAAAAAACAGATCAAGACGCTCCTAGTAAAATTAGGTCCAATCGTGATGTAAAAAACTAATTAATTTTACAATAGGTACTTTTCAGTTACTCCCTAAAATAAAATTCACACCATTTATTGAAATCTTAGATGATTACAAAGCAATTAATACAAACTTATGCGTGATGATTTAACTAAATTAGATTTAGGTAAGAATAAAAATGATATTAAATATCAGAAGTATCCTTCAAAATTTTGATCAATTTCTTGTATTCCTGGAAGCTACAAACAAAAACGGGAATTGATGTTATTGCAATCATAGGGCTAATGATTTATCACTATTCAACATACCAGGGTTCAAATTGTTCTGGAACAGCAGTGATCTTAATAAGTGTGATGGATGAATTGTATTTGTTAAAAATAAGATCTATATTGAGCATCTTGTTATAGTAAGAAGCCAGTCAGTGTTGTTAGGGTCTCTGTTCAAAAAAATTATAGGAGGGTTGATATTTTGCGATTGATAAAAACATCTTCCTAGCCAGTATTGTTAATATCCTGA